AAATATATTACGAGAAAGATTTTTGAAGGGAAAAAATACTACCAGAAATATATTTAAAAAAAAAAATTACCAACAATAAAAATTGTCGGCATTAAATAACCCATTGAGGTTGATATGCCGTAAAACAAACCAAACCAAAACCACTTATCTACAGCAAGCCCCACAAATATTCATCATATTTCGACATCTGGACATCTTTTACAAGTTACTTCGGACATAAGTTATGTGCCATGCGTGATACATGACTGACGAGGCAGATTTTTCCCGTAGTAGTTTGCCATTTCTTTCTGCGGTAGACCAGTTGCCATCCAAGGCTATCGGTCCTGATCCTATTTACTCATAGTTGGCTGGAGAAGAAGAGAATTCATAACTTTCCCAAGGGTATTAGCACGTAAGTGAATGTAATGGATTCAACTGGAATTCGAACTCGGCTCTCCGATTCCTCAGTCCGAGCCTCTATCCATTACTTCGGACATACAATATATAAAAGGTGAAGAAAATATTGTTGCAGTCACACTTCCCTGTACTTCTATATGCTCAATAAATAGGGAAAGTTTAAGCTGCGAGAATATCACCGATGAACAAAAGAAAGACATTACACATTTGCAAGTCAAGGAAGATATTTCACTGCAACTTGAACGTTTCCTTTCGGACATTCGACTTTAATGTAACATGAAAAAGGTCACCTTCCACCTTATATACCCCCATCGTTACGTAAGAAAATTTTCAACCACTTTCATGGTTTATCACATCCTGGCAGAAGAGTAACCAGCAAAATGATAATATTCAAAGTTCTATTTTGCCAAACACATTCACACAGTGAACATTTTGAGAGGCAAATTCATTCAACTTCTTATGAGCTCAGATAAAAAATATTTCATTAGTAAAAACTTTAATTCCAGTCAAAGGGAAGTTACCCATATGCTTGTCAAAGGGAAGTAACCCATATGCTTTTATATCATTACAGACATAAATATAGATATTCTTTGTGTGTTACTGTTATAAAACCGTTTTGTGTTCCTTCTTGTTGTTTCTCTTGTTGCTTTTACGTTTGCTTTACACATTTCGTAAAGTAAAAAAAATGTACGGGTTGATTTAGGCCGTCAATACCGCTACACGTTCGACTTGACCTCAACCGACAGACATCAAAAAATCTTTTTTTTCCGACAAAAACGAAAATAGAACTCCATTTCAACTTTAATCAAACACTGTTTCTTCTGGTCTAATTAGATAAAATGATATACAGTGGCGTACCTCGGATCAGCCCTCAAGTTTGTCACCCCTCCCCAGAAGGAATACGGTATTACAATGCACGTTAACCCCTTAAAGTATATATATATATATATATATATATATATATATATATATATATTATAAATTGATTTATTTAAAATATGTTTTTTTTTGCTACACAGTTCTAACCATGTTTCAAAAATGGAAGGTAAAAGCCCCGAATTTAATTTTGTAATTAAATTAAAGACATTAGTTCCATTTCATCCTCAAGCGAATTAAATTTGGGGCATTTAGCTTCCATTTTTGAAACATGGTTAGAACTGTGTAGCGAAAACTCATATTTTAAATCAATTCATTATAATATTAATGCTCTGTAAATTTACATTGAGCACTATTTTGTAAAAATAAAAATATCTATAAGAACACCGGATTATATATCTTACTGTTCTTTCTTTTATATATATATATATATATATATATATATATATATATATATATATATATATATAGTCAACGACGTAATTATTCGTACACCCATCAATTTTGTATCCATTTTTCTAATGGAATCTAATGCCCGTATGATGCCAGGTTTTCCGTGTTTCTGTTAGCGTGGTATTTATAACTCCTCACTGATAAATTATGAAATAAAAGTACAATTGTGTTTGTTTATTTATTTTTTTAAAATAAAATTGGAGGTACGTAAAAAACATTACTTCTGTAGTGACTACTACTATTTTTGCCACGCCTACAGTTTTCTCAACTGTGATTGGTTAATTAATAAATACTGTTTACCATAGAACAATTTACTAATCTCAGTCACCACACTGAATTTTTCACCCGTGAATTTCACAAACATGCTCTTGTTAGAAATCACCGATTGGTCAATTTTTCATCCAATCATATATTTTCTGTTTTCGCTCAATTTTCCCGTTTTGTTTCCTGGAGCCTACCAATAGTTATAAAAGCAGTGTTTTGTTCCAAAAATAGACAGTAGAATCCAGCAACTCACACGCGTCTACACAGATTATTGATTCTACTCCCAATGCACACAAAGACACAGAACTTGAATTACATTTCATCATTCGTTTTTTGTGAACAAGCCAAGTTACAAACCAACATTCTGTTATTTATACAAATAACACACAACTGAATTAACTGTATGCTTTTTTGAATGCAAAATTCTATTTCAACATAGAACTTTGAACATTCTATTCAAGAAACATTCTTAATTATATTTTATCTTATTCAAGCTAACAGATAAAGGGAAACTACTTTCTTTTTCTAAATATTCACACATTACAAAATTGTTTTGTATTTGTTGATTTTTATTTATATTTTATCATTGAAACAAAATCGTTTTCTCATTGTTTTTCCTTGATTCAATAATGTATAAATGTTAAATGCTCTTCAACACGCAGCCACATTAATCTCTTCAACATAGTATACAAAGCAGCATTTACACTTCTTTTTTTTTTCTAAATCGGGAAAATTTTAAAAACATTTACGATATTAAAAGAAAGATAACTTGTTATTGTTTATATACTCTCTGTTCTATTTAAAAAGAAAAAAACAAAAAAAGCACATTGTACTTTTAATTCATAATTTATCAGTTTTTTAAATATTTATTTCAATTCTAACAAGTGAGGAGTCATGAATTAAATGCCACATTAACAGAAACACGGTTCATTTTTCTTTTAACAATGTAAAAGAATGCAATGTCTTTTAAAATTATTTTGTTTTACATAGTTGAAGTTATTAGCAGAGGAGTAGACTAAGAATTAAAAGTTCGACAAAATTAATTTCTCTTTTAAAAACCGAAATAAATGTTAGTATAGCGGTTGCTATCTTTTTCACACTCACATACACTCCAAGTAATTTTATTCGCCTGCGATTGGCTAATAAATTACTACTACCTTTGTATAGGACAATTTAGCCATCGCAGTCGTTCCGTTGAATGTTTTGGTTCTGAGCATACCTACCTATTCTGTTTAGTACGTGTGTAGTGATTGGTTAATTTCTAACCAATCACATATTTTTAATATAAGATCAAGTTTTCCCGTGAGAGCCTACCTTTTTTCCTTTAATAGGGCGACTTTTCGCAAGTCGTTAGTAAGATCCATTAAGATCCCAGCTGTCAACACAAATCCACGATCTTGCTCATCACACTCTAACGCACACACAGATACAGAATTTCGTAACTACAAACTTACATTTTCTCTCTGTAACTTTCGCCAAGCACAATCAACCAGAACTTTGTTGATTCAAACCAGTTTATTCACAACACATTTCAAGCAGTTGTATTCTTGGTGTTATTCATTCTTCACATGCAAACTTTGCTCTAACGATTATTTCGGAACATTTATCTCACAAGAGAACTTTCTTCAAACAGTTGACTGCAATCAATCTACAGACAAAGGGAAATAACTTCCTTCTCTTTAATCTACATTGTGAATACAATTTTATTTCATGCTTGTTGTTGTATTTTATTCAATATATATTTGTTGGTTAACAAATTGGAGTTGTTGTTATTGTTTCTTGAATCCTGTACGTGAAAGAATCATTAATATAAATAGTAGTAGTACCTATATATTTGGTGTTCCTGCTACATTTAGTGAATCGACCCGACGCTATATTTGGTACTTACGCTACATTATCATACTTTTAATTCTTGGTCTATTCAAATATCTAATCAAAAATAAATAAATAAAACATTGCATTGTTTTACTATCGTGAAAACTTGTACATTGAAAAATTGAAAAAATGCCCATTTTTGGACTTTAAATAAAGTTAATGCACTTAAGAAAATATATGTTAATTTTCAATTTTCTTTTAAATTTCCGTTCGATATTTCCGGAAAAATTGGAATGCATGTGATATCCATAAAGCATTGGAGTTATTTCAATTTATTTATCTATCTATTTTATAACTTATGAAAAGTAACGATTTTATATCCGTATTAAAGCTAGGCCTATGATAAAAACTAGGTTCACTTATATTTAATTTTGTTTCATTAATAGTTCATAGACATGAAAAATCAAAATCAAAAAACTAACGCCAAAGACTGGACTTCTTACATAGGTGTGAATAAACTGTGGATTCACTAAATTCACTTAATCCAACCCCACATCAAGCCCTATAAAGATGTTCAATTTTTCACACCTTTTACTCACACAAAAAAGGTTTCCACATTCTTTTGTTACGCACATCACATCATCGTTTTTGTTAATACATTATCATTTGTTTGTACATGTATTGGTTCATGTTGTTTCTTATATTTATTCACGTGGACTCACATACTGAGTCCACCATTTCAGAAGAGTCTTACATTTTATACACCTTAGTTGATTCGGGATGAGAGAGAAAGCATACTTTCTTCTCCCATTGCTCCCACAGGTAAAAAAAAAAAAAAAAAAAACAACTTTTATTTTGCATCGAAAAACATTTATCGTGAAAAATTCTTTAAAACTGTGGACAGCCATGATCGGCCACGTCCTAAAAAATGATAAGTAAATAAAAGAAGAAAAAGTTTTAATATAATAATAATAAATAAATAAATAAATAATTAAAAATAATAAATAAACAAGATAAAAATATAAAAGAGACAAGATATTAATAAATAAATATTTAAAAATAATTAAAATAATAATAACAAAAAGCAAAAACATCAAGAAACACACAAAATACAAAATGCAAGAAATTAAAATCAAAGCAAAAACAAAAGCACTATATAAACTTATTATCTCCCTTGAAGTCTCTAATTTGTAGTTATGCTCTTCGGGAACACCGTTTATCGTTGTTGTATTAAATTTATAAGGTTAGTATTTTGTTTATTTTTTAAAATTAGTATCTTATAGTTATTTTAAAACATTTGTTTTTATTTAATTCCGACAAAAGACTGCTTTTTTCATTTTAATCTGTCTTAGTGAATTTTATTATAAACTATAATCTTCATGAAACAAGTGCTACAAAAAAACAAAACAAAAAACGAAGCACTCGTTTACCACGTGGAAACAATTTTTTGTGTCTACGGAAAAAATATAAAGGATGACTCTCTTTATCAAAATAACAGATAGAAAGTTCATTACGAAAATGGATTTTTTTTTTAACATTGATTCTATGCTGGGTTCGTTAAAATGTTTAAAAAAAAAAAAGAAGAAAGTTCACTGTTTTTACCGCCACCGAATTTCTAGTGAAAAAAAAAAAAAACGCATTATGCATTCTTTGAACTTAAATTTTAGTTTTTATTTGAAATAATACTAATCCTAGTAAATCCGTATTAAGAGAAAAATTAATTTTCGTATCTAAATAATTTTTCGGTATTTTAAAAACATTGGAACGTTCGCTCGTCACTCATCGAACCGCATCGCTAATGTAAAAAAAAAAAAAAAAAAAGTTTCTTAAAATTCCACTATTTGTCTTTTGCGTTCAAAGTCAGTTAATAAATTTAGGGATTAATTAACTGGATTTTGTAAGCCTGATGCTTATTTTTTTTGTCTACAACATAAAGAAAATAATGTTTGTTTTTGTAAAGAGCATGATTATCTTCAAAATAAAATTAAAAAATTTTTTAAAAATTGCTAGAAAGGAAATGATAATTAATGTGCAAACTTTGGAAAGAGCGTGTTTTTTTATTTAAAATAAAAAAAATGCTAGGAAGGAGTATTTCTTTTTATTTTGTAAATAATCATCTTTTCGAAGTTCGTGCAAACTTTGCGCATTAATTATTATTTGTTTTATTTTTAATGTAAATTTAATTTACTATATAAAAAAAACATCACTTGTCATCGCTTTACGGCATAACTTAAATGCGGAGTAATTTTAAACGAGTAAATTCTGTTAAGAGCAGTAAAACGGCTCTTAATTAAACCTCCGCGCGCTAAAATGTTCCGCGTTGAATGTAGTTCAACAAGGCTAGTAATGGCCGACAGCTGAACGCGACTGAGTTCGAAATTTTATTGTCGATAAATCCAAAACGGTAGGTTTCTTCATAATTTAATTATTAATTCGAGTTCAGCATGTACATTTACACGGATTTATGACGATTTGGGAACATTTTAAAAGATATTTAGCGTGGGTGTTAAAAAGCAAATTTACCAAAAATTCTAACAGTTGCTAAAAAATTAAAATTTTCAAAAAAAAATTTCACGCACAAGAGTGGTATTATTAATTGAACTTCATATTTTTCGATTAAAAGAAAAAACTTACTTTAAGAAATTAATTTAAGAAAAATATGTTGAAAACAGATTGATAATTTATTTTTAAGAAATTGAGTAAATTAGGGTTTTATTGGGCTCGTCCATTAGCCCAATCTTACCTTCTTTGAGTAATGCACTATTCCAACTTTCATTTGTAAATCTAGCGATGCACTTCGAAGTTTTGGCGTAAAATCGCCCTGGATCCACCCACGCGATTATGACCTCTTAAAAAATAACCCAAAGCATATGTGACTGGCAGAAGCAGACAGAGATGCAGACCTGGGCAGATCAGCAACAGACCATTTTTCAACCGCTTACTTAAGCTTAAAAATGTGACAACTACAATTTACCGTCTCACGAATCGAGACGACAAATCTTTCCCGTTCAATATTTTCTACAAACTTCTTTGTCATTCAAGAATCTCAAACTATACATTCTCTTTGACCATCTACGATAAATCAGTCAGTCAAATGAACACAGAGATATGCTAACATAATCCACGTCACTTGCAACTATAATCTTCCCGTGCAAACTAAAATCACAACTGACTCACTCGCAAGCCCAAACCGAAGAACACTCTGTAAACACCGAAACTTCTATCCGAACGACTTATCTAAAGTGAATTAACACTCACTACTGTTCTAAGTAAATAACATTATCGAACGAACTCAACATATGCAGTCAAAGGTAGACTACTTTGTAATGACTCAATTCTAAAAACATAATATCGACATTCTAAATACTAATTACAATTTCCTAAAAAGACTGTAACACAGATACACAAGACATAAAAAAGGACATACAAAAAACTTCAAATATTACGAACATACCAACACAATAACACCTTCAAAATATTCTGTACATATTATCTTATTTGCATATAAATGCATTTATTGGTTTTGAATTGCATGCATGTTTTTGTCTTGTTTATATCGAAATTGTTTATTTGTTGTGGATGCAGAAAAGTTCACGCAACCTGACATAAAAAATTCCTTCTGATTTATCACGTTGCTACAACAAATTCCTTAGTTTATTCTGCACATCCCTAACAGTCTCTTTTTTAAAATGTGAATATGTTTTTTTTTTTTTATTTTATAAAAGAATTTTAGTTTTAGTAATGGTTATTGGCTGTTATTATCTGGTCATGTCATCCTCTGATTGGTTAAATTTGAATGTTACTGTTTGTTTTGACTGTTCAGGTGTCCCTTGGGTATCTGGGGAAATACACGTAATTTTAGACAGAAAGGATTGGGGGTCATGGGAGTTGGGTGTCCAAGATGATTCTCACTCGTTTTGAACAACATATATTTTTTTATTTTGAAATAGAAGAAATTTTTTCAAGAACTTGAGACAAGTTCTGAGCTAAAAAAGCATTTTATTATTTATACCATTAAGTGGTAATAAGAAGAAATTTTTATATTTTGAATATATTTAGTTTAAGACTAAATATAAATGTTGCTGCTTATTTTGTAGCTTCTCCATATTTTATGAGAAGTTGATTTGAAGAAGTTTTTCACTCCTTGAAGTTGGCATATGTTGCTGACATCAACTCAAGATTTTAAACTTAGCTATAGATGCCTGAATTTTCACAAAGAACAAAGTTACAGATATGTTTATCCTTTTGAAACAACATTGAAAATATCCTGTGTCTAAATGAGAAGTACAGACAAGATGGTTACCTCCAAGCTGGTTCAATTGAAAGTGAAGGAGACACCAGAGAGAAGACAACATCACTAGTAAATTAGGCCAATCTCCACAGGGTTACTGAATATTGCAAAGAGAATTACCTTCAGTAAAGAAGAAGTTTGAACGCCTTTTAGTCTTCAGCTATCTGGAGAAAAAATTGGAAATTTTTTTTTTTTTCTCAGAAAGAACTCAAATACTTTATTCATTTTCTTTATGGACATTTGAACAGTCAACTCTAAAGAAAAAATATAATACACAAGTAAATAGTGCTTGTGAAAGAAAAAAATCATTGCATATTACTTTAGTTTTTATTTTTTTAAAAAAGTAAGTAACCATTTTTATTCTAATTTTCTATCTTGCAGACACCTTTTTTATCTTTTTATTTGTTGTCTTTAAATTGCTTATGGACTTGTTTGCTTATGCTTTAGACATCATTCTTTTTATTTTTTTTTTCCTGTGGAAATTAAATTTTTATTTAACTTTTTTTTTTCTTTGCCTGTAAATCAGATGGAAAGTCAGCAATTTAAAATATTTATTACAAACAGCAACCAGATGAATTTCAAAATTGCACTGAAAAATTTAAAAAAAATATTAAATGTAGATTTTTTTTCTATTTAAAAGAAAATCATGTTTTAAAATTAAATTGTGCAAGCATGATCTCTCAGAAAAAATTATTTTTTTTAGTTTTATTGAATTATTTTTGGTAAGGTTCATAGCAAATTTTCTCTATGTTCATATTTGATTGTGCATAAATTTCTTACTAAAATTTTTGACATTTTTTCGTTTAGCTTTGAATGTATTATCTTAACATAGATGAGATGATCTTTGGCGATTTCAATTTTCCTGCCATTTTTCAAATGTAAAGGTAAAACATCAATAAAGAAAATAAAATTTTGTTTTTTTTTATTTGAGTAACTGAATATGACTAGATTTATTAATTTTTAATTATTTAAAAAATAATTTATTTCCTCTTTATTTTTAAGCTATGTCTGCCTGTCCTGTTTGTGGAGATACAGATTATGAATGTATCTCAGGTTTGTATTATTGCACAACCTGTCAGACACAATCTCAGGTAAGTTCATTTTTCATTTAGCTTTTCTCAAAAAAAAACAAATTCAATGAAAAAAATTTGTTTCCTTAGGTTTGACTTCATCAGTAATATTCACATTTTCATCATGAATAATTGAAAGATACATGATTGCTTAAGTATGTATCATGATTGGTACATAACTGACTGAAATGTCGGCCTTGTGCCACATGATGCCCTCGTGGGGGGGTGACTAAAACTGAACCAAAATATATATTGGATTTTCTAAAAAGAATTGGTCTCTTATCAAAGATATAGACTGATGTATAAACAACATATCCTACCCTTTTACCATTTTGCAAATAAATTGTCCTTATCAAATGGAAATTCTTGACTTAAACAAAAATACCTAGGATTATTTTGCAGTGTACAAGCAAATAAGCTCTAGCTTGCTAGAAAATGTTCCATACAAAATAGGTATTTAAAATTCATATATTTGGCATATATATATATATATATATATATATATATATATATATATATAAATATATATATAAATATATAAACTAGATTTGGCATTAAATAACCCACAGTGGTTGATATGCCATAAAACTCAAACAAACAAACAAATTACCATTTTGCAAATAAATTGCCCTTATCAAATAGAAATTCTTGACTTAAACAAAATACCTAGGATTACTTTGCAGTGTGCAAGCAAATAAGCTCTAGGTTGCTAAAAATATTCTATACAAAATAGGCATTTAAAATTCATATAAACTGGATTTGGCATTAAATAACCCACAGTGGTTGATATGCCATAAAAACCCAAACAAACAAACAGACAAACAAACAAACTGACTGAAATGTGTCAACATTAGACGTAATGGTAGATTACGAAACCTCCATGAACAAGTGCTGTCCTGGAAAATTTAGAAAATGTTCTGGAAAATGATTTCCTAAAAAGAGTGGGAACCCTGAGTGGTCATATCACAATCTGTCTAGGATTCACCTTATATCAAACCATTAGTATTTGTGGTCCTCAAAAAAAGTCAATGTAATGAAAGTGCACATTCATTGCCACAGGCTTCACTGACTATGTCATTCTTCTTGACAACAGCAGAATATCCAAGAAAATACTTGATAACTCTCAACCTCAGCGTAAACCAAGGAATTACTTGAAGGACTTTTTTTAAAAAGAGTTTCTTGCAGCATGCCTTATAGAAGATCTTGAGTAACAGCCGCTTGTGATTGAAATAAGTGGAGGTGTACTATTCATGAAGGTACTTCCATGAACATGCAGTTTGGGCAAATAAACATGCATCAAGGAAAGAGGAAATCATTGATTCATCAATCCGTCAATTTATGTGTGATGAATATGCCAGAGTATGTCTCTCCAATGCAGAACTTGCTAGCCACAAGAAGCCATACTGGTAGATCTTTCACAAATTATGATCAGTCCTAAGCTAGAAATAACATGCAAGGTGTGTTAGAAAACCTGCAGAAAACACTCGAAAGAATTTACATAAAATAAATAAACAACACTTGTCTATATTATTTAATGAAACGTGTATGAATGAAAAGATGCTGCCTAAATACACAATATATATATATATATATATATATATATATATATATATATATATACATATATAATAAAAAGGCTTAAACACTAATATTCCATGGTCATAATTTATTTCATATATATCCATATATTATATCGTCTATTGTGTGTGTATGTCACCACAAAATATATACTCTTTTCTGGTGTATCTTTAATGTATTAGACACCCGAGAATATTCATATTTCTCTCACTTAAACCGTCTTTGACTCCCTTCTTTAAAACTTCTCTCTCTTAAATTTTAATCCCCACTTCATCTTTAGACCTTCCTGTTCTTCTCTCATCTGTTACCCCTCCCTATAGCTTTCATTTACTCTAACATTTGTCCCACACTCCCATATGTACACTCTCACTAAATTTTATTTTTTATTCCCGGAGTTGTTTTTTCTGTTTTCTTTTTGAATTTGTAGGTCTGATGAATTGGATCGTATTTACAATTCCAATGGAATAAATTATGACCATGGAATATTAGTGTTTAAGCCTTTTTATTATACCCTTACTCTATCCTGAACATTGAGTTCTACCTGGATTCTATCCTCTTGAAATTTTTTTTTATACATGTGTATGTATGTATGTATATTTATACATTTTAGATATATGATTGCATATGTATGTGTGTATTTACCAATCTATATATATATATATATTTTTAAAGACATTTTATGTTTAACGTTGTTATTTATAGATACAAGTATTTAAGCAAATGCTCTGTTTATGATAGTATTAAACAACATTTGCCTGAATGTCTGAGAAATTTTCATGAAAATATTAGTTTCTTTGACAGGATTGAACCTGCATCCTATCTGGAACCGTCATATCGCTGGCGTGCCTTGATTTCTCATTACAAAGAACCTTCGGCAGACAAGGTGAATTTACTGTTTATAAACTTCAAACTTCCATGAATCTCGTACATTCATAACTGCTCTGGCGTGTCGAATGTAAACAAAACGTCATATGTTAAGAAATGGACAAGGTCCGACAATTTATTTATTAAAGACATTTTTTATGTTTTAACGTTATTTATAGATACAAGTATTTAAGCAAATGCTCTGTTTATGATAAACAGTATTAAATAACATTCTTTTATTTGGTCAAAGGCACGTCAGTGTATATGACGGTTCCGTATAGGATGCAGGTTGAATCCTGTCAAAGAAACGAATATTTTCTATGAAAATTTCTAGGACATTCAGGCGGTAAATGTTATTTAATACTGTTTAATAAACAGAGCATTTGCTTAAATACTTGTATCTATAAATAACAACGTTAAACATAAAAAATGTCTTTAATAAATAAATTGTCGGACCTTGTCCATTTCTTAACATATGACGCCATTTGTTTACATTCGATACGCCAGAGCAGTTATGAATGTACGAGATTCATGGAAGTTTGAAGTTTATAAACAGTAAACCGACTTATTGTCTGTCGAAGGTTCTTTTGTGGTATTTGAGCGGTCAAGGCACGTCAGCGTAATATGACGGTTCCAGATAGGATGCAGGTTAATCCTGTCAAAGAACTAATATTTTCTATGAAAATTTCTCGGACATTCAGGCGTAAATGTTATTTAATACTGTTTATCATAAACAGAGCATTTGCTTAAATACTTGTATCTATAAATAACAACGTTAAACATAAAAATGTCTTTAATAAATAAATTGTCGGACCTTGTCCATTTCTTAACATATATATATATATATATATATCTTATAATGAAGGGAAAGATTAGTAAGATATATAATCTGGTGTTCTTATTATTACTTTTATTTAAACAAAACAGTGCTCAATGCAAATATACAGAGCATAAATATTATAAATTTACTTATTTAAAAATATGGTTCCATCGCTACACAGGAATTATCATGTTTCAAAAACAGAAGCTAAAAACTTCAAATTCAATTATAGAATTAAATTAAAGTCCCTAGTTTTGTTTCATTTTCAAGCGAATTGTGGAATAACTTATTTTGAAATTTACTGAGTTTTATAAACACATACATTCATAATATTCATTTCTATGGATATGGGGAAAACCTATCATTTTAACAGGTGGCAGTAGGGTATTCTTTTTCAGTGACAACTATTGTCTAAACATAATAGTTACTTTGGAAAAGAGGTTAAGTCAAGGTAGGTTAGAGGTGCCTTTTTCAAACGAATGATGACATCTGTTCAATGCATGTCGTCTGGTCTTTTTCAACAACAGAAAGTTTATCAACACATTTGTTTCACTGTTAAATTTGTACTTGTATACATAAAGAACAAATACAAATTTAACGGCAAAACAAATGTGCCGATAAAATTTCGGTGGGGGGGGGCAGAAAAAGAGGTGGATTCATACGCTTTCCAAAGGCTGTTTTCACATAAATTTTCTCCAACAAAAATGGACTTGTCTCCATTTTAATTCTGCGTGTTGTTTGTTACTTTATTTGGGTGTGTCAGGATGAAAATATGCTTTTCAAGCAAATTTCTTTTCTATTCACAGGATGTCATTGAAATGGATATAGATGACTTTTCTAGTCGTAATTATAAATATGCAAGAAAGAAGAAAAAAGAAATTTTGGTTGAAGGTAAGGAAATTTTTGTCATGTCAACAAACACTTGTTAGCAGTATTACCATTATTAATGAACAAGCTTTGAACAGAATCTATTTTTGACAAATTGCTATCAGGGAAAAAATTTGACAATTTCAACTTACTAGATCATTTAAGATTGGTGATAAATTTTTCTTTAAAAACTTTAAGGCTGAAAAAGAAAATTGGCAGGTAGGCTCTTTTTACTGCAAGTGTCAACTTGCTCCGAAGGACTTCACACAAATAAAGGAAGCCCTCTCTGTCATCTCTTAAGGCGATATATTGTGTGTTAATATGGTGGGTGGAGGTGCTCAAGACACTCAGAGGGTTTGACAAATGAGCAGTTTCACTCTCTGTGGCATTGAACGTCCAGGTGAGGTGTCTCAATAACTATGAGACATCATTCACCTAGCTGGTGTTATGAGAGGCCATCTGGGTCAGCAAAGAGCTCTGTACATCATCAGGCCTGGCAATTATGCCAAATTGTGCGTGCTGCAGTGGGGATGTTGAGTCCTTTGGGCATATCTTCTTTCAATGTAACAGCCATTGTGTGAACTGATTGAAGGTTACATGGTTTGTATCCTGGGCGGAAAGCTTTTAGACCTCAAAGCCAGTTCTGTCTGAAGCAATGTTGTACTGCAACTGAAGGGAATGAACACTATGTGTTCTTGTTTACTTGGCATTATGGGAGTCATGATTTGGGTGATGCAGTAGAATGAGTTTTATGGAGGCAAGAAGTTTTCCTCTTCTTAACTGATTTTGTTCTTTAAGTACTAGCTTAGTCAAAATTAGGCCGGACAGTAGGTGACTCTCTTCATCATAATTCAGTGACAGATGGTTGAATTTTTTATGTTTGGTTCACTTGAGAGGCTCTAATTTAGAGTGTGTTGTAGCATAATTATGGACGATAATGGGTATGTCCCCATCTACATTAATACAGTAGTAAATACTGTATGTTGGTCTGCAGTCGGAGATTCATCTCCAGCTGTGCTGGTCAAACTCTGTGTCTCTGGGCAAAGGGGATCCCCAGACAAAGATATGTCGAAAGGCAGAGTTTCATCTTGGGGAAACAGCTACCCAACTCCGTTTTATATGGTGTCTACGGGGAATTTTTGGTTGAGCCTACGTGATACCCCACAGTAAATTCGACCTTGGGCCATATCTGACTGCGTGGGGCAGTTGGTAGATATCCTGCATTTGGGGATTCATTGTGGAATTCACTTGACTCACTTCTAGCAGTTGACTACTTTATACGCACTGCTGGTGAATCTTATATGTGTCCTAAGTATTATCGTTTATTACCAACTTTCATTTGATTATTCTATTCAGTACCTTCCCTAGGTTACAACAGAGTGACATCTAAAGGTGACCTAGGATTGAGAAAATTAGTATACTTATTTGAACATTTGTCATCCCAGCCGAGTGTTAGGTTAGTGTAAGTTTTTCTTTTGGTTCAAGCTGCTGAATTTAACTTACAAGTTTTATATATATATATATACAAATAAACAAAAATTGTGTTAGTAAGGGGCACCATGGCAGCCTAAATGTGCTCAAGATGAGTTAACAGGACAAAAAAAAAATACTTTTCATGTGCTCATTCTACAATCGCTTATACTGATACTCACACATTTAGACACAAAAAAACTCACCCTCGAAACGAAAGACATCTCGCAGTTACCAGAGAACTCCAATTCCTGTCACCTAATTGATGAGGGGAAGAGGAATAGATAAAAATGGGGACAAAAATAAAAGGGGCCAATAACCATCCATTGGATGGTTTTTTGTCCAGTTAACTCATCTTGAGCACGTTTAGACAGCTGTTCGCCCCCCCCCTTACTAACACTATTTTTGTTTATTTGTGTATATATATTTTACATCATGAACATTGGGGAATTATTTTATTAACCCAGCCCTCCACAAAGATTGTATATATAGGACTAGGTAGGAATTCTTTTTTTAAGCGTTTCACTCCAAGCAAGGCGAGAAGCCACTAGGACGCAAGGGGTTACAGAAAATTTGGAGCAAGATCAGATAGGAGTGATAGAAGAAAGGATTAGGAGAAAGATAGTGGATAGATCAAGGCAATTGGAGATGTCAATTGACATTACATTTGAATAGCTAGAGATTATAGCTCTCAGGGAAACTGGAATAGGGAAGGGAGTTCCACAGGCGAGAGGTGTGAGACATGAAGCTACTGGAGTAGAAGAGACAGCTACATTTAAGAGTTTTGACAGTGAAGGGGTGAGAGCGGGATGCCAGCCTTGTTGGGTGCTTGAACTCATGAAGTCTGGAAACCAGCGAATGCAGCTCCTCAGAGCAATTGCCATGAAAGTATTTGTAAAACTGTCATGGAGTGGTTTCACAGTAGAGGCTTGTATTTATACTAAGTTGGTCTTAAAATAGGTTCGACGTACAAAACGTTAGGAACTTGATATAATAGGTATAACGCAGTAATCTAGTTGTGGTGGCTGATACTTTAATATCCAACTAACGGTCGTCTGGCATCGACTGACTGACCAACTCACTGAGCGACTTCCTCGTTACTCTTACTACTCCTACTTATAGGTGGGAGAGTCTATTAACTATAGAATAGGTGTGTTCCACTACAGCAAAAACAAAGAGAGAGAGGCGACAGTGCGTCTGAGGAAGTGACTGTAGACGAGATGACAGTGCAGGGCCAGTTATATTGCATATCCGCCTCTGGAGCCTATCAAGAACCCCCAGGCAAACAGAAGGGGCTCCAGACCATATATGGCAGCAATACTCCATGCAAGGGAGAATTCTTAGAGTAAATGCGGTATTATGTGTCTGTGTATGACAATGTTGTGCAGATGAGATGTTTTGGTGAAAGGAACAATGTATGAATTAGTGGGTCAGTGACTGAGGCTAGTTAAGTTATCAATAGAAGTGAAGAACAGCCTCCCCTGCAATTTTGCCCGTGTGGCTTGTTTCTACTTTTGTACAATAAATCCTAGGAGTAAACAAGTAGAGAGTTAGTGATCAAGCTTATCTGCTTATTACCTATTTCAGCAAGACTACGTTGACACCAAGTGACACATTACTTCTTGATTGGGTTATCTTCATTCATTAACATAACATTCAGTGCAATGATGACATAACAGTGTAGGATAGATACCAACTGACCCTGGATTAAGAAAACCAAGATTGTAGTTGACAGGGAAACATCCTAGATATTAGATAATCTCCTCACTGATGAAGAAGAGACTTAAGGCAACAGAAGTGGGGATCTACAGAAGGATGCTGAACATGTGGAAGCAAGGAAGCTTTCAGGAATTCCTCTTGATTTCCTGTCAACTATGATCTTCAAAAAATTTAAAGGCAATGTTTTTTTTTTCTGAGTAATGTTTCCTTTATTCCATTTCCTTTCATCCTCAGTAACCATTTGTGTTGTCTTAGTGGTTTTATTGTTTTGATTGTAAGTAGGTTTTTTGTACTTTGTCTATAGACTTTATCTTTTCTTCTTAGCCGAGAAATATGGCCGCCTGTGGACAACTTCTGAGGGTTTCCAGTTTATTATCAAAGAGCAGGTGAAAGCTTTGATTGATCTGGGTGCAAATCCAAAACTGAAGGTAAAAATAAATCGTTTTCTTATTTCTTTATAAATTATTTATAATTATTAGATTATCCCATAAGTATTGGGGATCAATTGTAATGATGAATATATCATCCTAGCTGTTACTTAAATATATTATTGTGACACTATGATAGGACCCTCTCCCGCAACAGAAGGATAGAGTGTGCAATTTTTATCTCGGTCTAGAATGTTTCATGGGGTTGCTGCTGATGAGAATAATGAAACAGAAGGATTATGTGTTGTAAAGTTGCGTATTGTTGTTGATAATCAAGTATTTACACTATGATTTATATAATGACTGCTCTTCTTTCTAGAAGAGATGAGTTAGTGTCTCTACGCTAATATGACCATATCTTTTGGCTTATCTGGTTACTTACATCCAAGGATGCCTGTCTAGTAGTGAGGCTAGCCAATCCCTAATGCAGACGTCCACTTGGGCACATTTGTGCTTGTTCAACACCCACGGAGCACACCTGTGGTTTATACTGAAACTTGAGTAGACTTTAGTTACAGTTTTTTTGGAGAGTGCATTATCTGGTGTGATCAACAGCCTGAACAAGGCCGGCACACCCCAAACTCTTGGTTACGTTGACTTAGCATCGTTGGTTCCCTTATGATTCCGTCTACCCAATTTCACTCACAAGGCTTGGGCCAATCTCTAGTATGATTTTTCAGGCACTTTCTGAAGGTATCCTATACTGAGATTACCTCCCCCAGACCGATAACATCAAGAAGACACCTTCCCGACAAATCAACCCTGGTGAGCGTCAAACCTTGGTTGCATTGAATTATAAGACATATAGGGGTGGGATGGGTAACTTGCCACCATTTTATATTTTTAATTTTATGCATGCACATTATTTGCTTTTTGTCAACTATACAGTATAGTAGGATCAGTTGGGCACTGTCTGAGAAAAAGAGCTCCATGATGCAATTCATTCTGCCAGAATCAGCATGCAGTACTGCTTGGCATTTGTGCCAGATGCTCCAATACGCACATTTCAGAATGCTTGGGTGTCAATTTGAGGAGAGTGTAGAGGATTCAGAAAAAGTTGGATAATATATCCAGTCAACATCATGGTGTTTGGAGTGATCACTAGTGATGGCGACATTATGCCTATATTCATCTTCCCACAGGGCCTCAGATTCAACACAGTCCTACACAGTGCCTTGAGGAGGTAGTACTGCCCTGGGTCAAGTGGGTGGCTGCTGGAAGACCCTATGTCTGGCAACAGGACTCTGCACCATGCCACACAATCAGGAGAACATAGTGATGGCTGTCAGACAACAACACTCCTTACATCTGGCTACCTAACTCCCCAGACTGCACCACCCACTCCTTTGATTATTATGTGTGAGGCACAGTGGAGCAAGAGACCAACAAAGCTCTTTGGAACATCAAAGATGAACTGAAGTCAAGAATCATGGCAGCATTCACCAACTTAAGCAAGGAGATAGTCCAGGAGAGTTGCAAGACATTCCAAAGTTGTTTGGAGGCTGTGGTTGAAGCCAATATTGATAAGTTTACTCCTTAGTAATCTAACACTTTTGCCCCAGCCCCTCAACCTCCGATGACTTACTCTCTGGGTTGAGGTGTCTACTCGGTCCGGACCAAACATAGGGGAGTGGCTGTAGGTCCCCCTGAGCATCCGTAGATTATTTGACCGGTCCACTGGTTTAATCCTGCTTCCTGCCCACATTGTGTTTGGTTTGAAGCAGAAGTGATGTTCATCCATTCACGGTCGACTGAACGACTGAAGATGTAGACATGGCTGGAGAGTCTGCGCTAAGAAATTTACAATGCAGCAAAAAAAAATTAATATCTGCAGAAAGCCGGACAAACAACTATTCAATGATTGAATTGTTAATGTCTTTTATATAGCAGAAAAGAATAGTATAGAAAAGAAACAGGTTACAGAAAAGAAAAGTAATTGACGTAAAAATACATACACTGGATTCTGGAGAGAGATAGAGTGTGTTATGATTAACTTGTTGTTAAATCATCTCAGAACGATATATGACTCCTGCGATGGGGGAATAAGATTTCTGTGTGTGGCTTAAAGTTTATAGTGGTGTTCCTCATTAGCAGTAGTAACAGTAGTAGTACTATTTGTGGTAGCAGAAGCAGCAGTACTTATATCAACAGCACATTTTAGCGGACACTTTGTTCCAATCTCTGACATCATATTCTCTCCTTCTTTAGTCTCCAACTTGACTCTCCACTGTCTCTTGCCCAGGCTAATTCTCTTCTGTCTCAACACTTGCCTGTCTCTCTCTTCTTCAGCATAACTATGCGTTTATATAGAAAAATCCGTCTGGTTACAACTGAACCTTGGCCCTACTGCTTCGCACGTGACTATCACAGGGTTTTGACTGTTTCAACTAAAATCATGTGAACTCAAATGTTCCTTCTGGCTTACTCAGCTCTATTTCAATTTTTAATCGATAAAAATTATTTTGGCCATTTCCATTGTCTTCTGATGACCCAGATTCAATGGGTACAACTTCTGGCCTAGATCAAATTTCCTCATCAGTAAACAAAAATGCTCTGATCTAATTTCGCTGTTCAAATCCACCCAATTTCACTTAAAAAAAAAAAATATACATGTTTGTGTGTTTCCAAGACTCTCTCTGTCACAGTACTTCAAGATATTTTGGTGTGATTTTGTTAAATATATCTGTTAAAATGAGATGTATGTTATTTTTATTTTTGCATAATTTAGCTGACAATTTATTCAGTGCACCCTGTAGTTGTTTACCCACAAAATTTGATGTCAAAATTGAAACATATATGAAAAGATTATTTAACTTTTAAATATCAATTTAATATAAAAGTTAAGTAATCTTTTCAGGAGGCACAGTGGAGTAATGGATAGCAGCTCGAATTGAGCAATCGGAGAGCTGAATTCAAATTTTACATGCTAATATTCTTGGGAAAGGTATGAATCCTCCTCCTCCTCCTCCTCCTCCTCCTCCCAGTTATGAGTAAATACCAGGACAGACAGATGGATGGTGACTGGTCTATTGCAGAAAGAAATGGCAACCTACTGTGGGGAAAAAACCGCCTCATCAGTCATGTATTGAAAGATATATGATCGCCTAAGCGTGTATCATGCATGGCACATAACTGACTGAATCTTTTCATGTAATATTATTGATGTTTATTAATATTTATAATATTGAGCCCTATCTCTGTGTGGGTGTGTATATATATATATATATATATATATATATATATATATATTTCTTGTCTGTGTGTGTATATATATATATATATATATATATATATATATATGTGTGTGTATGATATATATATAAAATTGTGATACATAAAATTATATATATATATATATATATATATATATATATATATATATATATATATATATATATATATTCTGTTTATATGTTATTTTAATAGATACAATTTATTTAAGTAAATGCTATTTTAAAATTTTTTTAAAAATATGAGTATTTTTTTTCCCAAAACCTTTGCCATTAAAATAAGTTTGCCTTCTACACCAGTGCATCTTATATTAAAAAAAAATACAGTTATCATTTATTTGGAAAAATAATTTCAAATTTGTTTTTTGTTTTTTTTTTCTGTTTTTGTTTTTCTGTAGGATATTGTGTTTGACATTTGGGCAAGATATCTCAATAAAACTGGTGTTGCATTTTGCTCTGAAGAGACATCAAAGAAACCACAAATTCATACGTGTTTGACAAGATCTCGGTAAGTATTATGAAGTATCATGTATGTCTATAATTTTACATTGTTTGTCTTTTCTCCTTTGATTTTTTTTTCTTTGTGAATTTTTGTAGAACTGTTGAAACTACTGATATATTTGCTAATGATAAATCTTGAGCATTGAGCCATCTGAATAATCAGAAACATTAAAAACAAATGAACTATTATTTTCTGTCAGAATTTTGGGGGTGAAGAGTTGGTGTCAGTTCATGAATTTGGTGACATATTAATTGTGAGTTCAATCACTGTTAGTGCAGACTTAGACTCAGGGGAAATGGCTGGGGAGCAATAACTGAGCAGCATTTGAATAAGAACTTGATAAGATGTCTCCAGATATGGAGAGTGGAATGAGAAAAATCTACTCCTATAGATTGAATAAAATGTTCAGTTTGGAATTCCCTGTAGGTTACCTGGATTGACAAGCACCTGATGAAGGCCAGTGGAAACAACAGTCGAAGTATTATGATAACAGTAACATAGATGAGGACAGTCATCCACATCTAGTCGTCAGCACCTGCTTACATCTGAGCATTGTGATCACCATTCTCTCTCCTTATATCCTTTCTCCCTTCTGGTGGAGATGCCTGTGAAGTCCCAGGCTACTCCTGAAGTGTCGTTAAATATTATTTGATGAGGCCATTCACATGAATTTGACTTTGTTGAACAAATCTGTGAAGTAGAAGCCCACACATTTGACCAGAAGCACATCCATCATGGTTCAAAGGGGATTGAAACTGGTGAGATTTGGCAAACCTGGTTGCATCAGGCTTGTCTGATGCTTAATCTGTTGAGTTTCACCTTATGCCAGGCTGACTGGCACTGACCCTCTTCTGCCAGTTTGGTTTTTGAGATTGTGTAGATCTTTGTTTATTCCATTTTTGGAGTTGGTTGCATTCAGTCTGATCCCTCCTCCTCAACCTTACTGCCATTGATGGCCATACAGGAGTTGAAAATAATGTAAATAAACATTTTTTTACACTATTTACATTATTCGGACTATATGTCCTCATCTTTGTCTCCATATTTATTACAACATTTCAGCTGTTGTACGCTCTGGCCTTTTTCAGGTAGTTGGAATGTCGAACTGAACCCTTTATTTCGCTCACTGGGGTAGACTGTTCTAGTTCCACGTACCATGTTTAATGGATGTCAGTTATCTCCTGTTAATTCCCCTCTCCAAGTTCTCCACTGCTTTATCCACTGTGCCATGTGTCCTTGAGGACACATGGCACAGTGGATAAAGGCGTTGGTTAGATCCAGTGACAGGACCCAAAGAGTATGAGTTCAATACCTGGTTAAGTCAGTGGAGAATTTTCAGAAGGAAATTAACAGGAGATAACTGATAACTGACATCCATTAAACATGGCACTTGGAACTAGAACAGTCTACCGCAGTGAGCAAAATAAAGGATTCAGTTTGACATTCCAACCACCTGAAGAATGCCGGAGCATACAACTGCCAAAACGTTGTAATAAATATGGCAACAAAGATGAGGACAATAGTCCAAATAATGTAAATAGTGTACATAATACCTTGTCTCAGAAATATAGACAGATTTTTTTTTTATACCATAAATTCTGTCCATTTGTTAAAGTTGGAGAATTCTTTTGGGGGAATATTTTATATTTATTTTTCTTGGATAAAATATTTTAATACTTTTATTCTATATTTCAAATTGCTTATAACATAAATGAGCATGTAGTGTAAAGGAATGGAATTGGCAAGCAGGGTTCAAATTTCAGCCTCAACTCTTGAATTCATTTTTGCACAAATGTCATTGAGGGATGGCATGAATCCCCCCACAGCTAAGGGTTAAATAACAAAGTAGACTCTGCTCTGCAGCCAGTCTAGGAGAATGACTGCACTAAAATCAAAATGATAGAGAAGGCAACTGGAAACCACTCTACTGAAAAAGTCATGACAATTTACAGATAAAGAAAAGGAATTTGTGCCTATTTCTTAAAGGAATATATTTAAAAAAATAATTTTCTTGGAAATAATAGAATTTCTTTTGAATATATGTTTTGTTTAGTGTGTGATCTATAAGATTCTTCTGGCCAAGTGTGTGGGATTCTCTTCCATGCCAAGTTGTCCAACAAAATCAAATTCATTCAAATGACCTTCTCAAACTCTCATTGACAACTCTTCTGAAGCAGGCTGGGTCTTCACAGCCATCTCCACCACCAGAGGGGAGAAAAGGAATAAGGAGAGTGGATAACAATCATGATGCTCGTATGTGCATAGGCGGCGACTGCTGCTACTACTACTGCTACTACTGCTAGTAGTAGTAGTAGTATTAGCATAATAATAATAATAATAAATAAAGGCTACTGTGTTTGTAAAGCAGTCTTCTCCCGTAGTACGACATCCAGAGAATAGAGTTTTGCTGAAGTCAGTGTTTAAGTTATATTCTTTATCCCTTGTAGGCTATAAATCCCAGTTCGATGGATATGTCCTGGTGATGTAAGGGATTGGTATTCATTTTTTTTTCTTTTTTGTATTAGTTCTGGAGCTTTAGAAGTGTTGGGTCATGAAGACAGTTACATTTGCATTTCAAATAAATGGGCTGGGACAATTATTCATTTTCCAGAGAAAAATCCACCTGAAACATCTTTATTTCAACCACTTCTTTTAATAAACATTCAGGAAATTTCCCCCAACTCCTTAATTTAGACTGTGAGTATTGTTGCAGTTTTTTGGGTATTATGTTTACTCGTGAGCTAGCCCAAATGACTTGACTCACTTTATAGTCCACCAATAGAAGGTTAACCAATCAGAAGACGTAAAATATTCAATCCGTCATGTATAAAGGCGGCCATTTTGTTTACTCTCTCCGAATGTCCAGTGCCAACTTGTCAGGCGAAGAGGAATAGATGGAAGAACTACTGAACTATGCTCTGCTACTTTACCGGGATATCCCCTGATAACCTGAACAACGCTTCCCTACTGTCTTCGAAATATTCACTGCTAACCTCTGGATTCTATACTCAAAGACCACCGTCATCATGAACAACAAGCATTCTATAACAAAGTGTTTTATTTGAACATTTAATAAAAGGACTGGTTGGAAGAAAGATGTCTTGGTGGACTTTTTTTCATAAAAAGAATTACCTCTCCATTCAAATTCAAAGGTATATAAGATAACAAATTCTATAATAATTTTTGGAAACAATTCTGGTGTGAGGCTTGGAAATTATGGTAAATTTGAGCTTAAGAAAGAAAAAAAATATCGCTGATGCTCATCAGTGTTGTGTCTTTTATTGTATTGAAAAACTTTTTCTTTTTTAAACAAAAAGAGGAAGAGAAAATCAAAATGGGCAAAAAGAAATAAGAAAATATATCCCTATTTCTACTGAGTCAAAGGCAGATAAGTCCGTCTATCATCCAGATTACACTCCTCTCCTCTTTTTTGAACAGGAGTAGAGGTTTATCCCTTGATGCCTGTTTGATTGGGTTTCTGTTCCTTCTAAAGTTTACTCTTTCAATTCAAGTAACCCCTTGTGCTGTAGTGGCATTATTGTTTTGCTTGGGGTGAATAGATTTAAAAAAAAAGAAAAAAAAAAAGAAGTTACCTCGACCAATCCCATTCATTCTTATTCTCTTTTTTCTTTTCTTCTCTTCCTCGCTTGATGTTGGCTGCTGTACAAGAAATAATCAAACACAACCACTACACCTTATTCCTTTACCTAATAAATACACATCCGTAAATGGTTTTCATTTTCTCCCTTTTATTTCCTCTAGAAAGGTTGCCAGTGGGAGAGAAGATGTAATGCTCCCTCTTCTTTCTTTTTCTTCTTTTTTTCTTTTCATTCTTTTCTCTTCTCTTCTCTTTTTCTTTTCTTTTCTCTTCTCTTTTTCCTTTTCTCTTCTCTTTTTTCTTTTCTCTTTTTCTTATTTCTTTTCTCTTCTCTTTTTTCTTTTCTTTATTTTTTGTTTCTTTTTCCCCTATTCTTTCTTTAATCCCTTTGTCTTTTTCTTTCTTTCTTCACATCACAGTTCTTTGATGGAAATATTTTTGAGCCATGTTTCTTGTTCAATTATGCAACTGAAACACATGCAGTAAATGAAGTAGGCACCGAGCTGGTTGAATTGAAATATTGCTTGTACAACTTGACCATTGCAAATCAGTCTTAACTTTTTCTGGAGTTTGAATTTAAGAAGAAAGAAAAGAGTGAAGTGAAGGAGGGAAAGAGAGAAAAAATGGACCAAAAAAAAAATTAGGAATAAAACAATATCCATATTTTAACTTGATATTTGTCAAAGCAGAGGTTTCAAACCTATTACCGCTCTCAAATCAAACCCGGGAACTCTCACCCTCTTCTTACCTTTCTCTTTTCTTCTCTCTTTCATTTCTCATATCATATCCCCTATCAATTCAAGCAAGTGCATTTTAATTATATTACAGTACTTCTACGATTTTCTAGACAAGGATTGAAAAAATATGTTTAGATAATTAAAAATTCTGAATGACTGGAAACGTAAATTATTCAAAGAGCATAAAGAAAAATTCCTTTTCTAAAAGAATTTCGCATTTATATCATCAAATAACATTTTCAGACATATTGTTCAAGGTTTTTTCAGTTTATTTTTGCCTGTTTCTGGTTGGCTTCATGTTTTTCTGCCGCTAACTCTTGAAACTGAATTAAAAATAAAATAGATTTATTTGTAAGGTTTGCTTCTGGTTGTGCATCCAACCATCTTAGACATTTGTCAATTTTTAACAAACCTTGATTATGCTTTTCTAAAGTCTCAAAACGACTGCTTGAGATGTAATATTAGAACGGGTTTAGTTAGATAATTGAATAAAGTTCGTATGATTTCAATTTTTCTCTGTACTTATGCAAAATATTTATCAAACGCATTCCAGATGCCAAGGGAGGTGACTACATGTTTTAGATGTCAAGGGAAGTAACTTTGATGTAACTTATAAACTAATTTTTGCTGGTGATTTTAAAACTAAAAATTGTCTTTTAAATTCACTGAAAGAAACTCAAGATTATCATATTTTATTGCATGTTGTGCTTTTTGTAAACTTTCCGAAAATGATTACAGATTCGTTGCATTTACAGAGATGCCCATATTGCGACTTCCAATGACCCATTTATAAAGCCCTTGATGCGGCACAAAAAGGTTCAAGATCTTACCAAAAACCTTTATGGCAATCGACGGGCAGCTGTCAGTCAGTACAGACATTTAGAGCGAATGTCAATGGTGAAAACCATTTCATTTTGCTATTTGGGTCTTTTATACACTAACAACCTAACAACACTCTCAGATATTATCAGGTAAGTTGTTGGTTTTTAATCACTTTGTACAGCAATTTTATTTATTTACCTGGGTTGACCTCTGATGAATGACAAGTGATAACCAGTTAGCTCATTCCATTTTTTTTTCTTTTTAGGTGGTGGGTGGGGGAGGTTTATTTTATTATTTTTTTTTTTTGCTCATATTTTGTTTATTTTATGAATCATGCTAACTGAGTTTTTATTACTTTTGGGGTTTTTTTAATTATGTTTGTTTTTATTGTTGTAACAAAATAAAAATACTAATAAAAATGAATCATATTTTTTTCTTTGTTACTGTCCACCCAATGTAAGGCCCAAGCGCCACTCAATGTACAGAATTACTGAATAATGTTGTATGGACTTAAGAGTAGGAAGTAAGTGCAGATTATAAGCGTATGTGGGATAGTTAACAGTTGACTCTAGATTTGAAGAGGTTAAGATTATAGTGATTGGGAAAGCATCCTCTAGTAAGTCTGTTTTACTAAGTACAAGTTCTCGGGAAGAAGCTAAGGGGTGCTTCCTTTTTATCAACAGAATATGAAAGGAATGAAGATGATTTTAATCCTGTGTATGTGGCATGGTTGGTCTTAGCTATAAGGGGTCTGGACTAGTGGGAGTACACAATGTAACTTGTGAACATTTGGCCACATAGATAGTGATAGACTTGCAATGTTTTGTTTGAAGGAAAGGTACAGTAAGTTTATTTTCTCTTCTACTCTGCTTTATTAAAAGTGGATCTGTGATATTAAAATTGTCTTGTAAATTAACAAAGCCATTGAAATCATTTATTATATCCTTTGCTGCATGCTACTTCTCTTTTCCAGATGGATTAATATGGAAAAAATTCCATATATGAATGCCTCTAATTTGTTTCCAGAAAACATCAAATTTTTTGCTGAGGATACGTTAACATTTAATTCTCCTGTAAGTGGGTTGCTTTGATTTTTACATTTTCATTTAGTAGCAAATGTCAATAACAGTCTTTCATTTTTTTTTCTAAACAGATAAAGAACAATTATAACGGATATTCTCTTTATCGCTATAAACTTTCTGTACAAAAATTTTCCAGCAAGACATCTATTTCATAATGTTTGTTTTTGCATTTTGCTAAGTTCATTTGAATTTCCTACTCTGGACATAGCTACATCAAGCTGACCATGAGAGAAAAAGTTGAATAATTTTCTAATGCTTATAATAATAATAATAATAATAATAATAATGGAGTTATGGCCATATCATGTTGAAACACAAGTTCCCATATGATCATCAAAGTTAAGCAACATTGAGCCTAGTCAGTACCAAATGGGCAACTGCTTGGAAATACCAGATGGTGTAATGGATAATGGCTAACAATTGTCAATCAGAGAGCCGAGTTCCAATTCCCACTGGGTTTATTATATTCACTTATGTGCAAATACCCTTTGGAAAGGTATGAATCCACCTCTTTTTTCCCCCCAGCTATGAGTTAATTAGTAAGACTTATATCACTAAACTGTTATTATCTCAAAAAAAATTTACAATCTAAAAATATTTTCTGGATCTAAATCACTTGCAAAGGGTTGATAAGCCATAAAAAATGAATCAGTTAATCCAACAATAATAATGATAAAAATAAAAACCACCTTTTTATAATATTAAAAAGTATCAGGTCATCCCATAAGTTCTGTCCGAATTTTAACTTTTTGTTAAAATGAATGAAATTTAAATTTAAAATGCTAACATGGAAGTACCCAAGAATCATTTGAGTCACATAATGCTTTATGAGTTCAAGAAAGGAAACTCAGCAGCCGAAGCGGCTAGAAACATTCACTCAGTTTATGGAGACGAATGTATGAATGAAAGAACTTGCAGAAGACAGTTTGCAAAATTCAGAGGTGAAGTTTTAACACTTGAAGATGAAGATCGAACCAGAGGTCCAGTTGAGTTTGATGAAAAGCTTCTTGAAGCAGAAAATCCTGCTTTATCAGTTGAGGAATTGGCAGTGGTTCTCAGTTCAAACCATACAACTGTTCATCGTCATCTTCAACAACTTGGAAAAGTTCCTAAACTTGTAAAATGGGTGCCTCATGAATTGTCTGAAAACAACCTCAAATCCCGAGTTGACATCTGCTCTTCATTCTCCATTCTCGCCAACTTGTTTCACTTTTTTTGGATAGACTTGTGACTGGCGATGAAAAATGAATCTTTTATTGAAATGTTAAGCATCGTAGACAGTGGCTTGGTAAAGGGAAAGGATCCCAGCCACAGCCGAGAAGGGAACTTCATGGGCAAAAGGTTCTTCTTTCAATCTGGTGGGATCGCCAGGAATAATCCACTTTGAATTCTTACCACCTAATGCAACAATTAATGCTCAAATATACTGTCAGCAATTAGAGCGTTTGAACCAAGCTTTGAGAAAAAAAAAGACCTGCTCTAGTGAATCAAAAGAGGTGATGTTTCATCAGGACAATGCTAACCTGACACAGCAAGAATCACGTCACAAAAGATCGAAGAACTTGGTTGGGAGAAAATTCCTCATCCACCTTATTCTCCCGATCTTGCTCCTTCAGACTAACATTTGTTTCGTAGCTTACAGGATCATTTGGAAGAAACAGCTTTTGTAACACAGGAAGAGGTTAAAACTGACATTTTGTGAGTTCTTCGAATCAAAGCCAAAAAAATTTTACAGTAATGGAATTGGTAAGCTTGTTAATAGATGGAAGGAAGTCATAGATAATCAGGGAAAATACATTGTTGATTGAATCTGTAATTAAATGTAACATTTGGTCACTTGTTTTCTTTATTCAAAATTTGGACAAAACTTATGGGATGACCTGATAATTCAGCCAAATTGATATTTTTTTGTCAAAATTTTGGGTATCTTTCAAGAAAATTTAATTCAATAAATTATTTTGACTTATTTAGATAATTCTTTATAAACAAAATTTTTAGCTCAATTTGACTAATTTGTGGTAATAGGTAATGTCAGACAACAACAGTGGTTACTATGAATGCTGCAGGAAATAAGATCATAACTGATGTTGTCCAGCCTAAAATTTAGAATTCTATATTCACTTTGTCTTATTCTTAAACAAAGAAAAATGTTATTTTTAGAAGCCAAGGTTTCATTTATTTTGCATTTTCTTTAACATGTTGATTTCAATGAGCATTTCTTTTTTTCTGTTTTCTGTTTTGTAGAATGTCCCCAGCTGCAGGAACATTCGTAAAATCTGTGGATTACTTGTAAAATTCTTGGATCTCGGTGACCTCCCAAGTGTACCAATAATGGACTTGGCCAACAAGTATCTGTGCCAATTAGATTTACCTGGTAAGCTGCACATTCTTCTTTGACTTCTATAAGTGCATTCATGATTTTGTTTCTATTCTGATACTTGGGTAGGCCCTTAACTTTATGAACTTTTTGCCTTATTACTGTTGCTTTGCCTAGTTTTGACTTGCATATATAATGTTTGCTTCATATTATTTTACCCCGTTTTTTTTCTTCTTCTTTTTATTGTTTATTGTGAGCTTTGTCAATTCTGCTTGTTGAGAATTTTGGCAATTACACTTAACCTTGGCCGGTTACTGCAAATTTAGCAATCTAAATTGAATGGTGCAAAATATTTGGGCTTTTTTTTTTTTTTTTTACCATTGATCATTGACACAGAAGTACAAATTTTATTGTAAAATTGATGACTGTGCTGTCTAAAGAGTCCTTAAAAGTGAGTCGCTAAAACTTTAAGGTCTTTTCTCTTTATGTGTCCCAGAAATTTCAACTGTCCCTTTCTGAGTGCAAATATCAGTTTCCATATGTAATTTGTCATACAAGGTACAGCTGAAATACCTTCCACATAATGGTAAGACATTAGCTAGATGAAGACACCATTGCCACTAATGTCTTAGCATTATGTGGGAGGAATTTCTGCTGTGTCCTTTATTATTGGCTTAGTGAGTTCATTAAAAAACAGTATCTTTCATCATTTTATCTAACAAAGCTTGTATGCATCCCCTGAGTTTACCAGTTTAGAAATAAAAATTTTCTAACGTATTTTGGGTTTCCTTTTCTTATTTTTTTAGGAGAACTCCATGGCATCCTGAATAACCTGACCAGTAATACCCCAGAAATATGGGTAAATGCAAAAAGAAATCGAATTCTTCCTCCTTATGAATGCATTGCTATGGCCTACATTGTTGTTTTGCTGAAAATGCTTTTTGGACTTGATGACGTAACTGAAAGGTGATTTTTTTTTTTCCTTTCCTTTTTCTCTATAGTTGAGTGCTTGAAATAGACTGATGGGAACAAGGAGCCTAGAGTACGGCAATTGCATCTATTGCAGGGGATTAAAATCCTGCCAAAGGGAGTCAATTCTCAAATAAATGCTTAGATTCAAATATAAATTTTGTACCTATTCTTGAACTAAGTAATACTTATAGACTCAAATATAAATGACCAATATTTACATATTCTCAAATCAATTAAATGTTTATAGGCTCAAATATATTCAGGCAATATTTACCTATTCCCACACCAAGTATTTTTTTTAATCATTTCACCCCATGTAAGGTGATAAAGCCACAAAGATGTAATGGATTCCTGAGAATGAAAGAATACGTGAAAATCATTATTGAGAAGAGAGGACAATAAATGAATGAGATTCAAGAAAACAGAAAATGACAATTGACATTGCATTTAAACTTTTGAATATTGACGTTGACAGGAAAATAAGAAGCCAAAAGAGAGTTCCATAACTGAGATGTGTTAGAAAAGAAACTGTTAGCATAGAATTTACAGTTACATCTAGCAATTTCAGCAATAAAATGATGTGACCTAACTGCCAATCTAGTACTGTGATTAAATTCATAAAGTCAATGTGCCAAAGAGGAAAACACATCAGAAGTATTAACCATGAAAATATTTATAGAAAAGATACAAGTTATGGTGATGGGAAAGTGACTGAAGCTGGGATGATAGATTAATGGTAGACTTATAAATATGTAAGATATATTCTAGTGACAAAAAGTCTAGCATGATACATTGAACTAACTTTTCTAGCAGCTGACCTACCAACTGATTCGATATTGTCTTTCCACTTCATATCAGTGGAAAATGTTAGACTGAGAAAAAAAGCTTATAGACTTAAATATATGTAACCAAGGTTTATCTATCCCCAAACAAGTAAATTCTTAGACTCAAATCTAAATGACCAATATTTACCTATCCTGAATCAGTAAAGTTTCTTCTCTTGCATTTCTCACCTGCAGAACTCTCTTTCAACTTTTTGCTTGCCTGTCCACTACAATCTTCAAAAATTTATATCCAATGACATTCTTCTTTTTTTTTTTTTTTTTTTGTATCTTGTTCCTTCATTGTTGTTTTTCCCCTCAATAAACTTTTTTCAGTTTCCTTCACTCTCAGTAACTCCTTGTATCTTTGTGACTTTATTGCCTTGCTTGTGGTGAAATGATTAAAAAAAATTCTTATAGACTCAAATATGCTTAAATTTTCATGTATCGTTCTTATTAATATGCTTTACAGAGCGAATTTGAGCAAAGTAAAAGGTGCAATATATGGCTACAAAATTAGTTACATTGACAGGGTTGTTATTAGAGATTTAATATTAATAAGAACAATACATGAAAATTTAAGCATAATTTCTCTGTTTTTTCTTTGAATAATTTTCTAAGTTTCTAAACTTGATACATTATTATTTTTAGAGTTTAATATTCGTAACTTTTATTTTTAATTACATAATAAATTGTATCTAGGGTCTGTTGTTGTGTTATTTGAATTACCATATACTTGTAATTTGATTGGCTATCACGTCTTATGTAAAAATATTCCACCTAGTGGGGGTAGTGGTTGGTTTTGAACTCTTTAAAACCTTTTTATTTTACAATTAACACCATCACTTGACAAGACAAAAGAAAGTGTTGAAACAAAATGGCTATTTTTGTAGTGATGTTATAACATACTTGTGTTTATAATTTTTAAATAAATATTATTCGCTCTACTTTGTATTGAGCACTTTTTTAAAAAATAGGGTTTTTGATTACTGGAATTTTATTCCATCTATACGAACCGTGTATTCAGGGATATATAAAAGAGACGAGGAAAAAAAATATTCTTAGCTGACACATTTCATCCTCTGAGGGACTTTATCCAGGCAATGTCCCTCAGAGAATAGTTTTCCTCTTGTCTCTTTATTAATTTTCTCTTCTCTACAGATACACTCTATCTGAGAATATTTACACATATACAGGTTGCGATGAATAAATTGTCATCGAAATTATGAAAACACTTGACATCTCATTTTAACAGATATATTTACTAAAATTACACAAAAATATCTTGAAATACAAAAGAGTAAATTTATTCAATAAAATCACCAATGGCTTCAATCACGCCCTCCAGATGACTTTGAATCTCCTGCATCTCCTCTAGATGGTCTCCTTATATTAGTTGGTGAATGCTGTCATAATCCTTAACTTCAGTTCATCTTTGGTGTTGCAAGTTGGTCTCTCGCTCAACTGTGCCTGACACATAGTAATCAAGGGGGTTGCAGTCTGGAAAGTTAGGTGGTCAGATGTAAGGGGTGATGTGGTCGCAGAAATTCTAACACCCATGATTGGGTTCTGCTTGTGTGGCCTGGTACAGAGTCTTGTTATCAGACATAAGGCCTTCCAGCAGCCTTTGTGGCTGGTATCAAACCTTACCACATACATGAGGATAAATCATCCTTATTCCTTTTGTATTTCATTAATCTTACTTATTATAAAACGCAGATTGTGTGTGTGTCTGTACGTTTATATATTGGATCGGATTTCCTACATTTTTCAACTGATTTCAACAAAACTTCACAGGACTATGTAAAATTACCTTGTGGTGGTTCTAACAGTGCCAAAAATTGGAAAAACACAATTGTTTTTGCACGAAGTCAATTTGAAAACACAATTAAGAGGCATCATGAGAATGAAAGGGGGACAACTCATATCGAGTTATACTTATTATAAAACCCAGGTTGTTTGTGTGTGTGTGTTCATTTATATATGGGATCGGATTTCCGACATTTTTCAACCGATTTCAACAAAACTTCACTTTTTTTGGCAGGCAGTGTTTCTTATTGTCTTTCACACTTTTTTCTTTATTTGTACATTCAGAATGCTTTGAAAATTCCATTTACAAGACAATTTTTTATAATAAAATTCTATTCAATCGGTAGACTCATAACGATTGAAAACAATGTTTTTGTTTGGGTTTGACCAATTCGTAAAAAAAAAAAAAAAAAAACTAATTAAGACATGCATGTCCACCAACGTTAAACAATAATCTTTGTCAATTTTATTTTTCAGTCTATATGATGGTTGATACTTGATCTATCTCTTACTGTTACATCCCCGGGCTCTACTGCTAATAAGAACTAAGTTGCACTTAGATAGCTTCTTCTCAAGAATTGCTTTGTGGAACAGGATGATCTTGACTTGACAATCTTCACCTCTTAGAGTTAGCTATTATTTTTCTTACATAACCTCATAAACTGTATTTCTTGCATTTTCTTATGCTCATACAACACCACACAGTAACCCTCTACCTTGAGTGACTCTTGGGCATTGTATTGGGTTTTTCTCAAAAATGTAATACAAAATCTTTGTATTAACTTGCCATAATAATCAAATGTCTAAAAACATCTGAGATTGAATATAAAGTCTCCAAAAACAATATCACTGATATATTTCAGTGGCTTAGTGAATTTTGGAATTGGTTAAACATGTATTATGGTCATCTAATGGTCAATTCCAGGATCAGGTAGTGAAATTGGTTCGACATGAATGAACAATAACTGGTATCACATTGACAAAATAACACCATGATCAACAGATATCTCACATCAGCCAAAACAGTGGACACCTGATGCTTGGGCCCCATTTTATAAATGCTATAGACAAATTAAATGGCCTATATTCCAAAATCTGAAAACTGAAGCATTTCACTGTCCCAAGAATTTTGGATAAAGAATTCTCAACCTGAAATTAATGTTCTCTCTCTTTATATTGTGCACTCTAATTACAAAAACTGATTGCCTTAAAAACGTTAACTCTTTTCTTTAGTAAATTACAATCTTTGTTGTTATGCCAATTTTATATGTGTACATGCTTAAAATATGTATAATCTATTATCTTACAGGAACCTGTCCAATTTTGCTAGGGTGTATTCTTCATATACTGCTGGAGGTAAATATCCTTAAATTTTTAAGTCCTTTTTCATTTTACAAGCTGCTATTTAAAAAAAAAAAAAAAAATCTTGTATGTGCTGGTAGCCTAACAGTTATCAGTGCTCAAAATGGAATCATCGAGCCAAGTTCAAATTCTCACCTAGTCTGTTGCATTCACTTTTGAAATAATGCCCTGGGGAATGGCATGAATCCACCCCTCCCCTGGCTGTCACATCTGGTCTGGTGCTTCTGCTATATATTTAAATATAGCTGACAAAATCCAAAGAAAAATCTGTAATGTTATTGGTCCTGACCTGGCATCTAGGCATCAGTCACTTTCATACCAATGTAATGTGGCTTTGTTGTGCCTTTTATGGTATTTGTTCTGATGAGCTTTCCTTTTTGATACCTCAGCTTTATGAATTTAAGTGCAGTACTTGATTGGCAGGTAGGTCTCCTCATTTTACTGTTGAAAATTGCTAAATTTAACCATAAGCTGTATACTAACAGTTTCTTCTCTCACATTTCTTGCTTGTGGAACTTTCTTTCCAATCATCTTGGATTTTCAAAAATTTAAGTCTCCTTGATTCCAGTTTTTTTATTGTCCTCAGTCTTTGATAATGTTTTTTTTTTCTCATATTCTTTCACATTCAGTAACTCCTTGTATCTTAGTGGGTTTATTACACTGTTTGCAGCGAAATGATTTAAAAAAAAAGACAATGAGTTAAATAGCAGAGTAGACCAAACTCTCCAGCCCTTGCTAGAAGCCAGTATAGGAGAAAGACAACTCTAAACTTAAAATCATAGAGAACACAATGGATAATTGCTCATATATTCCCCAAGAAGTCATGGCAATTTATAGAAAAGTAAGTAGACATCTGTCAGTCTTGGATCTGATAGAACTGCTCAGCAACCTTGGTATATTTGTGAGGGATATCAGAATAATCAAGAACCTATACTAGCAGCAAACAGCATGCATGCGCATAGGGAACGAGTTCAGCGAATATACAAAAATAGAAAGGGGCGTAAGGCAAAGAAAGATGTGTTTTCTCACCCAAACTGTTCAACCTATACAGCAAGACAATTCTGAGAGAATTGGAAACTCTACTGGGATTTAACATTGGCGGCCACAATCTTAACAACATAAGATACGCGGATGACAAAGTACTGATAACTGACACAGAAGAGAAATTATAAAATCTCCGACAGAAGTTAGCGACGGAGAGTCAGAAGAAAGGACTAAGTATAAACTACAAGAAGACCGAATGCATATTCATCAGTAAAAGGATGCGCTCGAAGTGCGATTTGCAGGATGGGAACACTAGAATCAAGCAGATGCAGAAGTTTAAATATCTGGGAAGCGTCTTGACAGAGGACGGTAAGTGTGACACTGAAATGTGTAGACATATTGGGATGGCCAAGAACACATTCTGAAAGCTGAGCAGTGTATTGTGAGACAGGTGGATTTCTTTCGTAACAAAGAAAAGAATACTGAACTATTACATGACATCTGTCTTTCTTTACGGCAGTCGAATGTTGGACGATTTACTTAATGAAGAAACTCGGGGATGTGGTTCTACAGAAGGATACTGAGGATTTCATGGACCAAGCATGTGAGCAATGATGAGGTCTTAGATAGGTTACAAACAAGGAGAAGGCTGATACTTAACATCATAAAGAGGCAGCTGAAGTGTCTGGGACACATAATGAGGAAGGAGGGCCTGGAGAACCTGATACCTATGGGTCAAATAAAGGGAAAGCAGTACATGCAAGCTTGAGCAAGTGGATGACAGAATGTGGTCTGTGGGTGGCAGCAGAGACAAGGAAATTGCTGAGGGCTGCAAGGGATAGAGGGAGGTGGTGGAGAGCCATGATCACCTACGTCCTGAAAGGGCATGGCACATAAAAAAAAAAAAGAGGAAGGCCTTAGTTACAGTTTTTAGGAGAAAGCCTCTAATTTGACATAATTGTTAGCTGAACAAGGCCAGTGCACTCAGTCATGACGGTTTATGATTTTGTGTTTGCACAACGATTGATGGCTTTTGAAAAGTTTCATCTACCTAAATTCATTTACAAGGATTGTCTCAACACAAGGTATGGCTTTCCGACATCTTCCAACATTGCCACACACTTTGATTGTCTCCCCCGGCTGATATTAACAAATGGTGAGATTCAAACCTGGATATCATGGTGAGGATGCTGACATTCTAATCCCTCAGCCATGAGTTCAGAAATTTTTTCATTTCACCTCACACAAGGCAATAAAGCCACTAAGATACAAGGAGCTACTAAGTGTGAGAGAATATGGGAAAAATAAAAACTTATTAAGAAGAGAGAACAATAAAGGAACATGTTTATGTTTTCAGGAGAAAAGTCCAAAATAATTATCACTATCAATCATCTATGGCAAAACACCTTGGCCAGTAGGTGGCTAAGACTAAGTCATAATGTGGCCCTGAGCTTGCCCACAAGAAGTACATGCAGAGACATATATCCATGTGTGACATGACATTGTAAATACCCTAATATTATGTGACTGTTGACATGAGCAGCCTCTCTAAGTGCTATCAAGGAGTTCAGGCTCCATACTACTCAGGATGTAGCAACAAGAAAACTACCAACACAGTACCCTCACATTGAAAAGTCACAACCACTGATCAGTCAAATCATTAAAAAGGTAAAACAGTTAAATCATTAAGACCTTTGAAGAAAGAAAGGAACTGGTAAATATCCTAAATAGGAAACAAGGGATAAACATCTACTCCTGTTCAATAAATATGGGAGGAGGCAAAAGAGATAAAGAAAAAGGATCTGTGGAGAGTTATGATTACCCATGTCATGAAAAAAAAATAGTTACTACTGTAAAACCTATTTTCTTCTCTCTTCTTTAAAGTGGTTTCCCCCAGAATGTATGTAGCAGTTACATAAAGGGAACAAGCTATTAAAATTGTCCAAACATTTTGGTAGTACCTTGTATAATTGTACGTCTGTAAATCATGCACATATGACTTCATCAGAAAATAATTTTTGTTGTTGACAACTCACAGTATTTTTACACTATTTGCATTGTTTTGACTGTTGCACTCATCATTATTGCCATATTTACAATGTTTCAGCCATTGTATGCTCTGGCTTTCTCCAACTGATATCTTTTGGAATTTCAAACTGAATTCTTTATTTAGTTCATAGTATTTTTATTTGATATTTTTCAGATGTTAAATGTAACCCAAATCTTTTAAAGACTGGCCTTTCATTACAAAGAAATGATTAAAATTGTTCTTGCATAGAAATTGGGCCACTTCTCAACACCTTATGTGCAGCATTTTGTTTAAACAGTTTTTTTTTCTGTTTAGTGTTATTAAATATTAAAATGAAATTAATATTTTACATGAATTGAAATATTTAATTTTCTGGTTGAAAACACAATTCATATTTTACATTAATTGAAGGCAGCAACTAATAGTTTGATTTAAGTAGAATTTTTTTTTTTTTTCTTATAATTCTCTTTTGTTTTTAGGCATAAAATCAGCATAGAGACCAAAATAAAATCAAAAGGTAATTTTAGCTGAGTTTCGTCATGCTTTGTAAATTCTCAAGTTTGAGCCTTATTTCATGCTTAAAATAAAAACCCTAATATGAGAAATTTTAGTTATTCTCTGTAAATGGTGGTGGTGGTGGTGGTGGTGGAGTTATTAGGTTCTCTTTATATTTTTGCTGTCATGGCTCTGTAAAATGCATTTCTCATTTGTAGTTTTTATGCATGGGATGAATAAATTCAAAATACAATTTAGATATTTATTGCAAAACAATTTATTTCAAAAGTTAGAAAAGTGGAAATTTTTATTTATTTATTTATTTATTTATATGAAGCCAGGTCCCCCCCCCGCCACTTTTTTTTCCAAACCTTGCTTCATGCTTAAAATAAGCTTAATTCTTTGATTAATAAGAGAAGTGGTTCTCAAACAGTATGGCGAGCCTCATATGTGCGGTGGAATGATTGAAAGACAATCAAAGATTTAGAAACTGTTTCAAAAATAAATATAATTTCAAAATTTCAAATATTATTATGGATTACTTGTAATTGCATGCATCAATCCCAGTATAATAAGCTGTAAATAATTATAGACCTATTTTATCATTTTATAATAACTAGGATCTGCAAATTGGTGGAGAGGGTTATCAATGATAATGTTCTGACTTCGAATCCGCGATTATCTCCCTTTAACCCTCTCTCTGGATCTTCTTTGCTGTAAGGCTGTTTGTGCCTTTCCACCGGTACTTCCCTTTGATAAGGCGCAAGCAAATTTTCATTCCGAAAATGCAGATCAAAGAAAAAAATCTGGGAACCACTGAATTATAGCTTTACCTGACTTAAAGACTTCATTCTAGCGAAAAAAAAACAAAAAAAAAACAAATTCCTCATAGCTGTGTCTTGTTGAAGAGACACATTGCAGTTATGGTTACTAGAAATTGGCACTTGTAGATTTATTTAATAAATTCTGTTTTCATTTCTTTTCAGAACAGAAAATGTTTATCTGGGATGATTGGGTTGCCCATATTAGTAGGAAAGTCGCAAACATGAAACGTTATCGTGAAGCCCTTGAACAGAAGTAAGTCAGTCTCGCATATCATTTACAATCAATAATTGCAATTACTACAATAAAACTAGAATTAAAAACTAAATGCTATTTCACTACTATTTACCAAGTAAATAAATAAAATCTTGTATTATATTTTTGTTTTATTCATTTCATCCCAAGCAAGTTAATAAAGCCCCTAACACAAAGGGTTACTAAACATAAAAGAATATAAGAAAAAGAAAAACATTATGAAGCAGTGAGAACAGTAAAAAACAGGAATCGAGAAGACAGTAGATAATTATTGTATTTAAATTTTTGAAGATCAAAGTTGGCTGGAAAGCAAGAAGCCAGAAGAGAGTTCCGCAAGTGAGATGTGCGATAGAAGAAACTGTTAGCATAGAACTTAGGGCTATTTCTAGCTGTAAAATGAGGGGACCTTCTTGCCAATCTAGTACCGCAGTTAAATACATAAAGTCTAGATACAATAGTGGAAAGTTCCTCAGAAAAATTACCATGAAATTATTTATAGAAAAGGCACAGGGAAGCTATGTTATAGTGATGGGAAAGTGACTGAAGCTGAGATACCAGGTCCGAGGCATTAACATTGCAGATTCTAAGAAAAAAATATTGTTATCAATCATAAAGCCAAGTAGTTTTTAAATTACATTACTTAACTCTCTATTAAGTTTGAACACTTCACAAAATGTTTTTCTTTAATACTTAGCAAGTGACAAGTTAAATTTTCATGATTAGTAAAGTAGTATTCAGAATAAGTCCGTCAAGTAACTAAATGGAGTTTCTGGTTTTAGCACATAACCATAAAATAAAGACTGTAACAATTGTGGTAGAAATCATTCTAATAATAATACCACAAAAATGGATTTGTGTGAATACCGGAACTAGTGTACAAATGTGGGTAAAAATTCTAATATACTAGCATAGCAAAAAGGAAAAGAGAATTGAAATAACATAATATATATATAATATATATATATATATATATATATATATATATATATACAGGATCTGTCTGAAAAGTAACATGACTGGTGTCACAATTTATTTCAATTCTAAATAACAAACTACATGGTTTCTTGTTCAAAGTAATCCCTCTTGAGTCTAATGCACTTTTCCATCCTTCTCTGTCATGCATCTACGCACTGCTGGAAGGATTCTTCTTGGATGCTCCTCAGTTCCATCCTTATGGCCCTCACGCCTTCAAAACAGGTTTCCTTGACCTTGGGGAAAGGAAAAAAGTCACACAGCAAGATCAAGTGAATAGAGAGATTATTCCAGTATGGTGATGTTCTTCTAGACCAGAAACTGCCTGATGCTCAAGATGTTGTAATCAGGTGCATTGTGAAGCAGCCATGATTTGTCCTGCCACAAGTCTTATCTCTTTTGACACACTGAGTGAAGCAAATGCTACAGAATCTCTTTGCAGTCTTATCATCTATCCCTGTGGTAAAAACTCATTGTGGATAATGCCCTTAACTCACACAGCGCACACAGTTCTGTTACTTTTCAGACAGACCTTATATATATATATATATATATATATATATATATATATATGTAAAATAAGAGATAATGTGGTTGTTGGTCAGAAGCCAGCTGGGTACATTTTTACCTGTTGACTGTAAGTGGTCAAAAAGAGAGAAAGTTTCTTAATTGTTAAGAGATGTCATTGGCTCATCTATTGACCAATCAGAAGACTAATTACATGCCAATTACAGCAATTCTGTTAAAGAAACCTTTCGATTGGCCACTTCCTTTAATTTCTTATGAGAGTTCTTTACAGTTTCATTATTTTTTACATAATATCTGTTTTTAGCCCTCTTTTAATACTGTTGTGTGTTTGAAACTGTGCAAAATATTTTCCTTAATATTTAGCAAGAGACAAATCAAATTTTAAGGATTAGTCATGTAGCTTTCTGAATACCTCTGTCAAGTATCTACAGGGAGTTTCTGATTAGAATATTTGTGCAATATTTGTGGTAGAAACGTATGAAATGATAACAAGTAACTGTTTTATACATTGAAGAGGAATCAAATTGTTATTCCAAAATAATTTTTAATTTATATTTTCCACTGATATGAAATATTGAATCAATTACTAGGTCTGATGTTATGCTGTTTGGAAAGTTTATTCACAGTGATATGTTTTTCTCATCAGAATCTATCTTAGACATTTATAAGTCTACCATTCATCTATGCATAGAATATTGATCTTGTGTCTGGTTTGGTACTTTTGGTGTGTATTTAGAGATTCTTGATAAAATCTAAAGCAGAATCTGCTGTTATTGGTCAGTCACTTTCCCAGCACTCTAAAGTCTTTTCTATAAATATTTTCATGATAATTGTTCTAATGAGTTTACCTCTTTGATACCTCCAATTTATGAATTTAAGTGCAGTACTGAATTGGCAGTTAGGTCTCATCGTTTTACAGTTGAAATGACGATGTGTAATCATAAGTTTCTAACCACCAATAGTTTCTTCTCTCACACTTTTTGCCTCTTGCTTTCCTCAAGAATTTAAATGCAATGTCAATCTTTATTTTTTGTCCTGTTCTTTTATTGTTCTCTCTCCTTAATTATATTTTTCTTTTTCTCTTATTCTTTCATATTCAACTACCCTTAGCATCTTAGTGGCTTTATTATCTTGCTTGGCATGAAATTATTAAAAATAAAAGTTAAATATTTACTTGCAAAAAAACAAAAAACAATTATTCTTACAAAATCAAAAATATATTTCAGATTTAAATAACCAACAGAGGGTTGATAATCCATAAAAAAATTACATAACTAGGTAAATGGTGATTAAGTACAATGTTTCTTGAATTTTGTAGCCTTTTATTGACAATAACATTTTCAGCATTTCAGACCACTGAAAAGTTTTTACCAAGGAAGATCCTAAGTGTACATCTTTTACTTTAGAGACAGAAAATGCATATAATCTTTTTTCTTTTAAAAAATACTTTTTGTAAATGAATAAATGAGAAACAAATGACATGCCACAGCATGTCTTAAACCTCACTCTCATCATTGATAATGACACAGTAACCAAAAAAGTCCTTGCCATTTTTGATTTATTAGAAAAAAAATGTATACAGAAACTTTGACATACCGTTGGTCCCCAAAGTAATCCCCATTGGCATCCAGAACCTTTTGCCAACATGTCTCCAGCTACACAATGCCATGGCAATAAAAATCAGGTGTCTTGCATGCAAAAAAAGTCTGTGAGTATCCACTGTAAGTCTGCCTCATTTGCAAAGGATTTCCTATAAAGGTGGTTGTCCATGGAATGGAAGAGGTTGTACTGTTGATTCAAGGCCTGGGGTGTAAGGTGGATGGTGCAGTGTCTCTCAGCTAAATTTCCGTATGATACTTCTGGCCAGCCAAGCCACATGAGGTCTGGCATTGTCATGGAGGAACTGTACACACTGGCAATTATCCAATTCTAGCTCCTTCTGCTTCGGTGGTCTTGTGGTGTGAAGCATAGGGTCCCATGGTGGCAACCAATGTCTGGCACACTGGGGAGTGTTAAATAGGATCCTCTTTTCATCACTATAAGTGAGCTCCAAATATGGGTACATTGCAGTGCCAAGAAAGCATTGAGTAAAAGGCTGTCACTCATTGTTGCTTGTTGGTGTTCAACAATGTGTCAGGTATCCACTTGCTCAAGTTGTATGCATTGACAGGTTTGGCTGTTGTCCACTTCTATCGCCACCTTCAGGGCCTCATCCCAGGACTGTGTCCAGCCACTACAGTGTTCATCACAAAAGGACAAATCTCTTGACCTGAACTTCTGAAACCAGTGCCTGGTTGGGTGTTCACTCACAGCATTATCTCCAAAGGCTTGATGTATTCAGCAACTTGATGTGGTTGCCAACAAGTGGACCTTAATGTCATAAACCAGACAACCTCGAACAGCGCTGCTTTGACATCACCATATTTCCTCATCACTGCCTTGTGTGTGTGTGTGTGTGTCTAGTATTGGTCAAGAGCAATGTCCCGACCCCCACTGTTTACCCAGCACGTGAAACACTCATTTGCAAATCAATGATCACTTCTCACCCAAGAATACCAGACAACCTCGAACGAGCTGCTTTGACATCACCATATTTCCTCATCACTGCTTTGTGTGTGTGTGTGTGTGTGTGTGTGTGTGTGTGTGTGTGTGTGTGTCTAGTATTGGTCAAGAGCAATGTCCTGACCCCCACTGTTTACCCAGCACGTGAAACACTCATTTGCAAATCAATGATCACTTCTTCCCATACAGTGTGAAAAACAGCAAGGACTTTTTTGGTTACCTTATAAATTAGAAACAGATCACATGCTGCAGTACATCTTTATCAAACTTTGTGGCTGGTTGGATATTGCCAAGTAGTGGTTATGATACTTTTGCTGTACATGTTAGTTGTTACAATAGTTTAGGAAGGTCATTTCTGCTTACATGTGGTTGATATACATACTGTTTTCTCTTAGTGATGATCGTAGTTGCTGCTAGTATCTGAATGAAGAGCTTGGTAATAATGGATAAATGGTTGTGAAAGGGAATAAGACATTTACATCAGACCTCTGGACATGAATAAGCTAATTTTTTCCCCTTCCTCTTCCTGAAAAGTGGATGTGAAAACTTAGTTCATTTCATTAACATGCATGTCACCCATTTCTTCATAATAAAACTCTAACCTGCTTTGGGGGCAGTTAATGCAAGTCATTAACAGACTAACCAGAGGAAAAGAGAGACTTGTGCTCCAGTGTGAATACTTTTATAGTGGGTGCATGCAGTTACTAATGCTGTTAATTGATTATTTGATTTTGTCATCATCCACTTTTATGTTCCTTTCTTTGCTGAGGTGTGTCTCTTGACAGTTTTAGCTTAGCTACTTTCTCTGCGATGTCATAATTATTTACAGTTTATGAGTTGGAGAAGATGGTAAAAGGGAAAAAAACATATTTTGTGCAACCATTTTTGAATTGGTTTTTGTTTGTTTTATATCTAAATTTTTATCCTTTTGTTCTATATTTACAACCCCATATATCTTCCTCTGATTTCTGCTATTTAATTATCATGTTTATATACATTAATAGTATTAGATATAATAATTTATGTATTTCTTAGTTGAAGCATTAACATTAATATGTTGAAGCTAATTGTGAAAATTTTTTTTTTTATTATTTAGTCAACCTTTCATTGTCCAAGACTTACAGCAATTTTTGAGTTACTGTGAAAAAATGTCACGCAGTAATACACGAATCTCGATTTTGAAAGAACGTGCAAGTAAGTAACCTCCAAAATTTTTAAAGTTGATTGTGCTGGGTGTTGGTTATAATAAAAATTAGTGAATGCAAAAAAGTGTTGTTGAATGTAACTTAAAAAATTATCAATAATTTTTATTTGGTCAGATTTTTTCAGATTTACTTTCAAAATAGTAGATAAAAGAGAGATATGACAAAAGTAATAGAAAGTAGGAGATTATATATATATATGGAATCTCTTCCATCATTTTCAGCATATAAGGGTCTAGTAGAGTAGCTCAGTTTTAGAACTGAATAACCAGACTACATGCACATATAATTTGAATATAGTGATGAAGGCTTGTGCAGAACCAGCCAAACATTTTGGGAGAACTGAGTACATTATGTGCCACCTGAAGGTATCCAAATTGCTTTCTTCAGGTTTTGAATTCAGAGTGGTCCTTTTCCTAGACTGGTTGCCTATCAAGTCTATAGGACCTAGTCTGTACTGCTATATATGCAAAGCTAGTTTTGCAGGTGAGGGAGGGATAGATTCATACTTTTCCTAAGGGTATTTGCATGTAAGTGAATATAACAACCTCAACTGGAATTTGAACTCGGCCTACCAATTTCTCATTCCAAGTTAAAATCCTTTACACCACTTGCACATCCATTCATTATACATACCCGTCCTGGGTAAGGCGATAAACTACATTCGCATTCAGGGTAAGACGATAAATTACGTCCAACAGCAAAGCCTCTGATCAGGAGGTTTTGAGGAGCATGGAACTACCTCTTAAATGCTGGTGTTCCCAGGTCCACCCTGACTCGGGGTGGTAGCACCTGTTAGAGTTCCAGCTATGAGTAAATAGTTAACCCCCAAACTGGGATTAAAACACTATGAAAGTGTAAAAATAAGTTTTAATACCAGAAATACTTTGTAAAAAATTATTACCAGAAATAAATTTTTGAAGAAAAAACTATTACCAGCAATACGTTTTTGAAAAAAAAAAATATTACCAGCAATGCTTTTTTAAAATAATATTAACAGCTATACATTTTTGAGAAAAAAAAAAATTACCAGAAATAGATTTAAGACAAAAACAACATATTACCAGGAAAAAAATGTTGTCGGCATTAAATAACCCATTGAGGTTAATATGCCACAAAACAAACCAAACCATATATATATATATATATATATATATATATATATATATATATATATATGAAGAAATATAGTCTTAAGATGTGCTATATTTATGGGATAAAATGCTCAATATCAGAGATAGAGCGTGTGTAAATATAAAAGTCAACATAGAAGTCAACACATTAGAGGCGAGAGTCTGTTTCATGCTAGATGCCTGATGATTGCATATAGCATGAAACAGACTTTATATATATAAAGAGACATAAAGTATTAATGGAAAGTTAGTTATATATTCTAAATAAAAGAAAGTTTATAAATTATAATTCATAGAGTACAAAAAGTTTTAGAGGGAGAGGGGAGTGACTTAGTGTAGCTACATAAGGCAAAATTCCACTATGGAATTAGAATTAGTTTTTGATTTATTACGTTGACGTTTGAAGTGCTATAGGAGATGGGAGTCAGGGAGTGATTTTGGATAGCTAATTAAAGCAAAACTATCTGATGGAAATTTGAATTTTTTTATGTTGACATTTGAACACTACAAATCCACTTGGATGATATACCAACGGATTTTTCACATTTATTTATTTATTTTTATATATATATATGTGTGTGTGCGTGTTTCATTGAAGACTACTGACAACTGCAATTAAACTTTCTATTTAATTCTTTTGCATTCATTCAAGTGATTTCTTTTAAAGCACTCACCCTCATAGTAAACAATAACAACTTGTCAATAAGATCCAAACTTCATAGAACCAACACTGTTATAAATTTACGTGCCCCTTATGGAAGTGCATTCCTGGCAAAATAAATTCATGGATAATACTTAGATTTGACATACAACTACATGCCTATTAAGATTTATTTTGCATCTCTCAGATCATAGCTTCATTAGGACTCATATAAATACACATACATACCAATCTCTGTCTGCAACATGCAAAAAAACGGTTAAAAATAATGTAAGCTTTATTAATAAAAAAGAAGCCAACTCTCGGTAATATCAGTAATGAACACGGCCACAATAGGCCAAACAGAAATTAACATTCCCATCACTCTATAAACATAAAAAAAAACATTGACAAAGTTGTAGACTCCCAAAAACCATATTTCATAGACAGTTATACCAAGGTGGCTAAATTTTAAATCATTTGAAAGAGAAATCAATTTACATTCATATAAAATCAACTTATGGTACTTGTTTTTTAACAGTTTTTTTCAGATATCTTTATTTAATTGTACTAACATCACATATTCAGATTTTAAAAAAATTTAATCAGGACTCCAGGCATTTAACAATTGAAATCTCCTAATGTCTGATCAGATTAAATTCTCCAAGCCTACTTTCTTCTTCAGCTGTCCCCCCAAATTTCTCTTTTTTGATTCTTAAGTTTCTTAATAGATTATATTTTGCATAAAACATTTTTTTTTTACATGGTTTATTCATTGGATTATCAAGATTTGTTAGTTGAACCACATCTTCAGTTGTTTAAAATCTTTTTTTTTATAATTTGTTGTGAAATTCACCACCTCTCCATATTAGTATACATCCAAGCATGATTCTTTTCTTCTAAAAATTTCACAGAGATTCAATCTTGCACATTTATAAATTTACTATTCATTCATGCATTGTGTTGGTTTCAGCCTGTAGGAATGAGTGCAAAACACTTTCTCCTCCCTTTTATAGGCAGAAACACAAAAATGCATGCTGGGATTTTTTCTTAGCCAATAAAATAGGCCGGTTCACAGTTTTATCTGACTCTGTCCCAATCTGTCTTGTCCTGAAGTCAGAACACTGTTTGCCTGTCCAAACTTGATTATTAGTTTGTGACCTTTTTGACATATTACTGTTGCTTTCCCTTTGCATATATTGTTTGCTTGTTTTGTTATTTTTTTTCATCTGTTCCTTTCTTTTCATTTTCTTGATATTGCTTATTGCAAACTTTATCAATTCTGTTATTTATTTGGCATTTGACTGTGGCTACTCTCTACACCAGGGGATGGCAACTCATTCGACCCTGCGGGCGGATCGTGTTATAATGACAGGTCGGGGGCGTGGACAAAGGCCATTAATGAAAAATTAAGGAAAAGGCCATTATATGAAAAATTGTCAACCAAAATATTTAAAACCATAATGAAAATAAACATTGAGAAATCAGAAAAACAAAAGAAAATCTAAAATTAAAAAAAAACACCTAACAAAAATTACTTTTCCTCAAGAAACGTCAAAATACTTTAAAGTGAAAATAATCAACTAAAGTGAAATGGATGAAATTATGACGTGTAGGTTTGAAACTGTTATTGAAAATTGTTCCACACACACACACACACACACACACATCAAACAAAAACGAAGCACATATACCCATACATACGAGTACAAACGAGTTGGAAACATACACTTACATACGTACACATGCGGTATCATCCACACATTCATGAGGCATATATGTATAATGCGCGTATGTTTAACTGTCTTTAATTCGCATGTCAGTCCCTCCCTGGCCTCTTTCATTTTATCGTTCCTTTCGCTTCTGCTATCATTTAATGTCGCCAAGGGTCATAACAAATATGTATCCATTATTTGACATTAAACGTAGGCAACACAACTTGGTAAAATAAGTCTCATGAAAGATAACTGGCAGAAAGTCTAATTTGAAAGCCTCATCTCTCATGTTAAATATAGAGTCATTGGTAATCAGGCTTGTGGGCCAGTTAAAATGCCTTCACGGGCCTGATCTGGCCCATGGGTCATAGGTTGCCGACCCTTGCTCTACACACATTGAATATTACTGCCATATCTGGTAAGGTACTCCTATATATCTCGAGATTCAAAGAAGTGTCCGTAATGTAATTGACCCTAACATGGCACTTTATAACTGCTGTAATATGGCTTCTCTCTGTCTTTTCTATAAACATTTTTGTGGCAGTTGTTCTGATGAACTTTTCTCCTTGCTGCCTTGACTGCATGAATTTAAGCATGCTACTAGATTGGCAATTCGGTCCCACCATATTACTGTTGAACTATATAGATGCAACAGCATGTTCTATTCTAATAGTTTCTTTTCTTGCACGTCTCTCTTGTGAAACACTTCTGGTTACCTGCTTCCCTGCCACTGGCACTCTTCAAAAATTAAATCGCCATCTTCTGTCTTCCTGAATCCTGTTCTTTTGTTGTCCTTTCTCATCACTAAAGTCTTCTCATTCTCTTTCACCCCCCGTAACCCACTGAGTCTTAGTGGCATCATTGCCTTTTCTTGAGGTGAAATGATTAAAAAAAGTACTATATACAACTCATAAAAATTCTTATAACAAGAAAAATGATTATATTTATTGATGTTGATTTTTACTTCTTTCTTTAATTTCAGCGCGTAAAGAAGACCTTTGTAATTCAATTAAAAGTCTTTTTAACCTTATAACGGATCGCCTGAAAGAATCTAATCCCAATTTGGAAGAGAACTTACCCTCCACACCTTTGGAGTCTACCAACTTGTTTAATAATTCCACTTCTCAACCGAATGAATCCCAAGGAATCCAGTTTCGAAAAGCTAGTGTCCGATTCATTACCCATCCAGAAACCTTCCTCCATATGAATCCTTTTAATATTTCAGATCCGACCATCCAGTCAATACATTCACACAGTGAAGGATCTGATGATGAGGATCCTTTCACCTCTTTAATTTCAGCCTCTTCTGCTGAAGACTCTTGTAGCTCTGGCAAGAAAAAGTGGGGTAGAATCAGGCATGTTGTGGTGAGAAGGCTTCATGGGGCTAAGCGCCAAAAGATCGACCTTGCTTCCCAGAAAAAACTTCAACGATTACTGCTGTCCTCTTACAAGAATTATGTGAAATTGCCAGACAAGACAATCCCACCTGATGCTATCAAGCAGAAAAATATACCATATACTTACCTTTGGCTTTTATATATCTGCAGTTTGGTCATTGAAGAAACTTGCCCAATGTTGGACTGTCAGGTCAAAAATATTGAGGGCTTGAAGAAAATACGAAAGATTAGCAAATTTCGAAACTGTTCATTACGGCATATGCGAACATATTTCAAAAAGCCTGTGTGAAAATATATTTTGTTTCTTTCTACAGATATCTCATTTATGAAAATGATTTCACTGGACATGATTAAATAATATCTGTATTTAAAAAAATATTTGGTAGTACTGTCTTTATTGCTGCGCCTTGAAAATGTGCCTTAAAATTCATCTTGTGGTGACAAACTGCTTATGTAATTTTGAATCCAGGGCTCCAGATGAACGTTTTTCACAAACATTCCAGAACCATCCCCCAAAAATTCAAAACCGTCTCGAAATCAATACTACTATGAGATTTAACCCTTTCACTGCTACTCATTTGCCCAGTACTGCCCCCATCCGGCCAGCCATTTTTAAAGAAAATGCCAAATTTCAACCTACATATTTTATTACACAGAAAACTGGCCCCAGTGTGTTTTACAGCCTTCCATTTTCATGGATATACCTGGGAATGACTTACCAGATTAGTAATGGGTATACACATGATATCTTTTGAAGCATTGTCCTTTGTGATTTTACGATAGATGGCGCAACGGGACACTCATAACAGCGGTATGCAAAAAAACGTAGGTTTCCGTACTTAGCCAGCTGGAGCAAGATAAGAAGAATGAAGATCTCCATAGTTAGCAGCAGAAGTGTTAAGATTGCATGTTCGCACATTGTATGTGTGTGTGTGTGTGTTTACATATAAGCAATTAAAGAAGCAACTAAAACCTGGGTTTCTACTACGGACTGTTTCATCATTTTTTAAAAAATTTTTTTTAAATTGTAGGGAAACCAAGTTCTCAATGTCTCTAGGGTATGTCTGTTTACTTTTTCTGGTCCTATAGTAAGTTAGAGTAAGTAATGATAACAATGGTTATAATGGTTGAGCTTGAGTCAGCTTTGTGTTGAGTTGGAACAACCAAAAAATAACGGTTGTACTTACTTCGCCAGCAGTTTCTGCAAACATGACCAAACAATCTATGTTGGAATGCGGTTCTGTCCCTTATCAGAAACAGGGTCATAAAATTGCGCAGATTCCGGTTCCTTTATTAATAGCATCAGAGGAAAGTTATTATTATTATTTTTTTTCACTATTACCCAGTACACGTTCCTAAGTGCTACTCAAAGTAGAGCGTTACTGAATGAGGATGTTATAAAGGTGTATAAGGAGGGAGAAAGTGTTGCATATTATGAAGATATGTAGGATATATAATAGTTGACACTTGACTTGAACAGGTTAAGATTTTAACAGTTGGGGAAGTAGCATCTATTGAGTCTGGTCCATTGTAATAATTATAGGGAAGAAGCTGAATAGAACTGATTCCTTATCAATGGAATTTCCCTTAAAAAATTGCCATTTCCTATTATGAAACCATAAAAAAAAAAAAAGATTATTTCAAGCACCCAAAGAATTTATCAAGGACAACTTGTAAAACTTTGTAAATTTTCTGCATATAAAAATGTTATATTTTATAAAACTGTGTTCATTCTTCACTTTTCATTTTCAAACAAATTCCTGGAAGTTTCAAAAAAGGGCATATAAAGATAAAAAACCTCAGCAGGTTTAAACTGGGGAAAAGTAACACATGCTGATTCATATGTTTACAGTGATGACTGCTTAAGATGTATGTCTGTTTTTATTTATCTAACTGGTTTCTTCAGCCAAAAGGGACACAGGTTTGAATCCTGTCAGTGAGCACATATTTTTCTTTAATAATAGTTTTGAAATATTCAGGCAGTAGGTGAAAATAAATTAATATACTGTTTAATAAATAAATAGAACATCTACTCAAATATGGGTATCCACTAAAAATAACAAAATAAGTTTTTATTTTTATATGATCTTTATCAAGCTTCCACAATTAAAGGTTTAAAGTGATAAAATATGTTGGATTAATAAATAAAATCCATCAATTTAGAAATATATATATATATGATTCATTTCTGTAGTTTACTGCAACCAGCTAGCAGAAATATTTCTTCTGGTGATGGCCATTTTGGCAGAAACTAGTCGAGGAATCTAAATGAAATAATAAAAAAAACAAAAGAATATTAATCTATAACCCAGTGTGTTTGAATTTTTTAATATTTTTTTATTGTTCAATATATATATATATATATATATATATACACACAGGTTGTCCCTAAAGTTTGGACATGTAGGTAAAAATGGATATTTTCAAGAAATGAAAACTTCAAAAACATTGAATTAACAAACATTTTCAATATGATTTCCATCTTTTGTGATACAAAGTTTGATAGGTTTTGCAAGATTCACATAAACTTAATGCAATAACTCCCCATTGCCGTCAATTTTATCATATTCACTCTTTATACGTTCAATCAAGTGTGTTGCACCTGTGATTTTCATTGAGTACCCTTTCTTTAGCATACCCTAGAAAAAGAATTCATTTCTTTCTTTTGACAAAACCATGGTTAATTTGTGGAGGTAAAAAAATATAGCTAATGATATTTTCTAAATATATATAATCTAAAAATATTTTCTGGCTTTAAATAATTTACAAGGGGTTGATAAGCCATAAAAAACTAATCAATCTGTCTATAAATATTTTCATGGCAAAATTTCTGATGAGCTTTCCTCCTTGCTCCCTTGACGGCATAAATTTAAATGTGCTATTAGATTGGTAACTAAGTTTTAACTGTTTTACTTCTGAACGACCTAGACACTAAATATGTTCTTTTTTAATAGTTACTTTACTCACACTTCTCGTCAGTGAAACTCCCTTTTGATTTCTTGCTTCTCTTCCACCGACAATGTTCAAACATTTAAATGCAATGCTAATTGCCATTTTTGTCTTCCTGAACCCAGTTCTTTTATTGTCCTCTCTCCTCACTAAAGCCTTCTTTCACTTTCAGTAACTCCTTGCTTCTTAGTGGTGTGATCGCTTTGTTTGGGATGAAATGATGAAAAACAAGAAAGTGAATCAGCATGCTAACACAATGTTAAGAAGCTGGAACTTTGCTGTTTCTGGGTACCCAGAGCTCACAGCAAACACTTCACTGTTGGGAATGATCAATACATTTGTGAATACTAACATGTTGTCATCATAGAAGACTCAGCAATGAACTCATTTATCTTGAGGCAATATGAATGATCAATAATTCAAATTTAGTTGTGTCAACTCATCTTGGAAGCACAAAATAAAGTTTGAAATGATGTCTCCAGTGTAATCAGTCCTTATCAGAAGAGCTGCAGGTGAGATGAGTGGAGAAACACTGGCTTCATAGAAATCTATCCATGTCAAAGTTTCAAATATTCAGGTCAGGTAGGACTAATTGTAGGAAAAATCAAGGTGACATACCTGTTCTAAGGGTTTTAATTATCTTTTGAAAATTATCATCATCATCAATCCTGTGACCAGCTGTGGTTGTAGTCAGCTTACTACCAGATTTGTTCCCTCCACATATCTAGGTTGAAAGCCATTCATGCAGAGTGTCTTGGTCAAGTAGACCTGACAATGTCCATTCCTCTCCAGGTCAAACTACAGCCAATGTCCTCCAACTTAAAGGTTTGCCTTGGTTAATGACTGGTGGCAGTTAATTCTATCAGTAGGAGCTCCCTCTGCCCTAGCTGTTGACTTCAGTCTCAGAAGTCCTCCACTCGGTACTGTAGTGTCATCACCACACAGGCTGCATACATAGCTTTGGAGCTCACTCTACCGTATTGTGCAGGGTGGCTGTTGTTGACCATCCAAGAAGGTTTATTTGCCCTTTGACAGGTTTTGTTTTTAATCCTGCTTGGAGTCTCACTACTCTCCTCACCAGAAAAAGAGGAGGAACCGATTTACTTGCTGATGACTCTTCCATGCAGTAGGGAGTACTAGGTTATATGTATCAGTCATACTTGTTGACTGACCTGACACACACACACACAATTCTTTTTATACTGGATATCAGAGTAAAAGAATTGTCATCAGACATACCAATTGCAATCATTACTTTTAACCTGTTAAAAGTTCATGGTTTTCCTATTTGAATTTGTTTTGAAGAATCTTAATTCTTAAGTTAATGATTCAATAAGTTGATGGCAAGTTCTACAACAATAAAATATCTAGAAATTCCCCTATCACATCGTTAATTATTTGAGCTTAACAACTTTAATAAAATATTGCACTAACAGTCATGAATATGGATGCCGGTCGTTATTTTAAGAAGGGGATACAAATGAAAAGATTTTGACAACTTTTCCCATTTCACTGAAAAACAGCCGCTAAACACTTCTCTCTTTCCTTGTTATTTTTCTTTCAATTTTCTCACTCAAGTTGTCTTTTCCCCCTCTTTCCACGTGATCACAACGGAGTAGTCCATTATTTATGGGGTATTGGCAGGATATATATGTCGCGCGAATTAATGAAGGGATGTACAAGCGCAATTATAATAGTATTATTTTATATAATGGATAATAGAAAGTAATCACTAAATATAAAAAAATAATTATTAAAATAATATATATTTGAAGAAGATAATTTTTTGTATATACGTTATTTATTATTTTTTTGTTGCTGTTTTTAAAACTGTTGGAATAATAAAGATATAAGCAATTGTACAGAGTAAGTAGTAAAAATAATCTAAAACAAATATTAGGAACAAGAATCAATCCAAAGGTTGGTTTAGATTGGTTCAGTCTGAAATTAACAGAAAATGCTTAATCTAAAAGGTTTAACCACAATTCAGTCAATTATGTGCCATGCGTGATACACTTT